GAGAAACGGCGACCCAAAAGGACTCGGTCACGAGAAAACCTGAGAAGCAGCCCCAATAACTTTTTTACGGGGGGCTAAAGGGGTGGTCGGGGATCGAAAGAGAAGAGTGGGGTTCCAGTTGGAGTCCCTACGACCATGAGAACAGGAATGGGAACAGTTTTACACTGAGGAGTCGGAGGATGACGACGCGAATGAGTTTCTGTTCCCTAACTTGTGGAGCCTCCCGGAGGAGTCCTCACTGGAGGAGGATTGGGCGCGGAGAGAGAAGGACTGGAACAGTCGTACATCTCCAACGCCAGTTCCCAGCCTGGTACGCCTCGTGCCTGCTTCTCGCACTAAGCCAGTGGTGCGTGTTCCCAGTCCGGCACGGCCCGTGCCTGCTCCTCGCACCAAGCCAGTGGTGCGTGTTCCCAGTCCGGCACAGCCCGTGCCTGCTCCTCGCACCAAGCCAGTGGTGCGTGTTCTCAGTCCGGCACGGCCCGTGCCTGCTCCTCGCACCAAGCCAGTGGTGCGTGTTCCCAGTCCGGCACGGCCCGTTCCAGGACAGAAACACGCACCTAAAATGGAGTCAGCAGGTACAGTCGGTCCGTCCGGATCTTTGGAGGAACGTATCCAACGGCAGGCGAGCAGGATCCAGGCACTCGGCAGCGCACTTGGAGCGCGTGGTGAGTAGATTGGAGCGATGGGAGAGAGGTGGCGTTTCTACACCTCCTCCAACCACACAACTCACCCGACCTCCAGCGACGGTCCCCTGCAGGGAGCACTTTAGCGTGTCAGTGCCCAGTCTGGGGCCGGCAACCAGCCCAACTACAGGGTTGGAAACCACCTCTGCGTCGGTGCCCAGGGTGGGCTTGACGTACAGCCCCGTTTTGGAGCAAGAGCTCCTAAACGTGTCGGTGCCCAGTCTGGGGCCGGCAACCAGTCCTATTACAGGGCTGGAATTTTCCTCTGTGTCGGTGCCCAGGCTGGGCACAGCGTTTAGTCCTGCTCCAGAGATGGGGATGGATACGGGTCCGGAAGTTTGCTCCACTCCGGAGCCAGAGCAATCCGCTCCACCGGTGCCTGATCCAGCTCCGGTCAGTTGCTCCACTCCGGAGCTGGAGCAGTCCGCTCCACCGGTGCCCAGTCTAGCTCTGGTCAGCGGCTCTAATCCGGAGCCAGAGCAATCCGCTCCACCGGTGCCCAGTCCAGCTCCGGTCAGCGATTCCATTCCGGAGTCAGAGCAGTCCGCTCCACCGGTGCCTGATCCAGCTCCGGTCGGTTGCTCCACCTCGGAGCCAGAGCAGTCCGCTCCACCGGGGTCCAGTCCTGCTCCAGTCAGCGTCTCCGGAGTGGAGCAACCGACCGGAGCTGGATCAGGCACCAGTGGAGCGGACTGCTCTGACTCTGGAATGGAATCGCTGACCGGAGCTGGATTGGGCACCGGTGGAGCGGACTTCTCTGACTCCGGAGTGGAGCCACTGACCGGAGGGCTGGGCACGGCGTTTAGTCCTGCTCCAGAGATGGGGATGGATACGGGTCCGGAAGTTTGCTCCACTCCGGAGCCAGAGCAGTCCGCTCCACCGGTGCCCAGTCTAGCTCTGGTCAGCGGCTCTAATCCGGAGCCAGAGCAGTCCGCTCCACCGGTGCCCAGTCCAGCTTCGGTCAGCGGCTCCACTCCAGACCCAGAAGTCAGCCCCTCTTCAGGTTCGGGGTCTCCCACACCAGGGTCCAGACAGGGCTTGGTGCATCGTGGGGGGATTGCCGATCCAGGCCCAGACGTCAGCCCCTCTCCAGGTTCGGGGTCTCCCACACCAGGGTCCAGACAGGGCTGGTGCATCGCGGGAGGATTGCCGATCCAGGCCCAGACGTCAGCCCCTCTCCAGGTTCGGGGTCTCCCACACCAGGGTCCAGACAGGGCTTGGTGCATCGTGAGAGGAAGGAGAGGGGAAGCATCGCGCTGAGGTCCAGACCAGACCAGGGGCGCAACGGGGAGGCAGAGAGAAAGAGGTCGTCACGCCCGGAGCCGGATCCGCCTCCGAGGCTGAAAGCCCACCCGGACCCTCCCCTAATGAGTCAGGTTGGTATGGCCGGAGTACGCACCTTTGGGGGGGGGTGGGGGTACTGTCACGCCCTGGCCTTGAGAGGCCTGTTGTCTTTAGTTGGTTTGGTCAGGGCGTGAGTTTCTATGTTATATATTCTATGTTTATGTTCTAGTTAGTCTATTTCTATGTTGCAATGCTAGGTTGTGTTTCTAGGTTTGGCCGGGTGTGATTCCCAATCAGAGACAGCTGTCGCTCGTTGTCTCTGATTGGGGATCATACTTAAGTAGCCCATTGCCTACTGTGTATTGTAGGATCTTGTTCCGTGTAGGCTTGTATGTGTATAGCCTGAGGACTTCATGTTACGTTGTTTCTTGTTTTGTGTTTATTTGAGTTAATAAACATGTACGCTTTTCACGCTGCACCTTGTTCCGACCCGTCTCTCAACGTTCGTGACAGCGCGTGAATCTACACCTTTTTCTCCCTGAGTATTCATTACAGACACTACACATCCAAGTATATTTGACCAAATTATGAAAGACAAGCACTGTAATTTTGAATTCCGTAAAGTAAGTGTGGAAGAGGTGAAAAAAGTATTGCTGTCTATCAACAATGACAAGCCACTGGGGTCTGACAACTTGGATGGAAAATTACTGAGGATAATAGCGGACGATATTGCCACTCCTATTTGCAATATCTTCAACTTAAGCCTACTAGAAAGTGTGACCACAGGCCTATTGAAATGACAGCAACACTTAACAAAGAGCTGCAGTTAGTTTCAGAATGGGTGGCAAGGAATATGTTAGTCCTAAATATTTCAAAAACTAAAGGATTGTATTTGAGAAATCATTCACTAAACCTCAACTACATATTGTAATGAATCATGTGGAAATTGAGCAAGTTGAGGAGACTAAACTGCTTGGAGTAACCCTGGATTGTAAACTGTCATGGTCAAAACATATTAATACAACAGTAGCTAGGATGGGGAGAAGTCTGTCTATAATTAAGCGCTGCTCTGCATTCTTAACAGCACTATCAACAAGGCAGGTCCTACAGGCCCTAGTTTTGTCACAACCTGGAATACTGTTCAGTTGTGTGGTCAGGTGCCACAAAGAGGGACTTAGGAAAATTGCAGTTGGCTCAAAACAGGGCGGCACGGCTGGCCCTTGGATGTACACAGAGAGCTAACATTAATAGATTGCATGTCAATCTCTCCTGGCTCAAAGTGGAGGAGAGATTGACTTCATCACTACTTGTATTTGCAGCAGCTAATGGGGATCCATAATAAATTCAAATATAAATTAGGGGAGGGATGTTAGGGTTAGGGGAAAATAATAAAGGAAAAAAAAAATATATATATATATATATATATATATATATATATATATATATATATATATATACAGTATATATATATATACATTTTATATGTATATTTACCCAAAGAATATGGTGGATTGGAAGTTATGCAGACAAATACATTGATGGAAGCCACAATCTATCTGCAATATTAAATCTGATCTACCCCCTAAAACAAAAAAGAATAATACATAAATGATTTACTTTTTATTCTTCACCATATAATAGAATATCAAATCAAATTGTATTTGCCACATTCGCCGAATACAACAGGTGTAGACCTTACAGTGAAATTCTTACTTACAAGCCCTTAACCAACAATGCAATAAAAGAGTAGTAACAGTGTTAAAGATTAATGTCATACTTTTTCTTGACACAAATGTTTATTGTGCACACACACAGGTATTTGAAAGAGGCCTCTGAACACTACTCACCCATCCTTGGACAGGTGCTGTCTAAAGAAGTCATTGGCAGCTAGTTTGATGGCCTTCTCTGGAGTGACCAGAGTCAGGTTCACAGCAGCACCTAATGGCCAAAGAAGAGAGGCCCAGAATCACACACAAACATGTGTGACACACACGCACGCACACACACTTCATTGGTGTGTCAATGAGTATGGATCTCACAAATAATCTTACAGAAGAGTTATCATTACAGAGGAAATCGGCTGTATCAACAGAGTATTTATGGGAATCCAACCTCATCCCAATGCTCAAGAGAGCGAGCCGGCGGGTGGAAGAGATTTCTGAAGGCCATACCGTAGAATATCTAGAACCTTCTGTACTGTAACTGTCAAATGCACCATCTGGTGGTCGAACTAGAAAGGCATGAAGATACAGTGTAGGCCGCCTGACATATTTGTCAGGAGTCAGTTTGTATTCCATAGATCATGGCGTTAACTGCATCATTAATCATAATGCCTGGCTCCCCAATATTCATTTCACCATCCATCACCTTCCAGGTCACTGGTACAGAGTGAATACAACAACACAAGCCTTGAATACTTTTTGGCACAGAGGGTGCCTTGTTGCCCTGAAGGCACAGTTTCTGTCCCATTTAGGCTGCATTTAAATATGCTGTCTTATTTTGAAAGCACAATATGGATTTATAATCATATTCACTATGATTTTTTTATCAACATTAATGTTTTATTGCCCTGGTGGAATTATCTTTCGATTTTCTTTTGAGGTGACCTCATAGGCTACTATTTAAGCAGAGGTGTAAAGTAACTACTTACAAATATACTCTCGTTACTGTAACTGAGTACTTATACTTCTTTGAGTATTTTTCAGTCATACATTTTACTTCTACTAGAGTCAAATGTCATTTAAGTACTCTTTCCACCACTGTATTTAAGATACCTGACTGACACAAACATTCACATGAAACATAAGCATTATTACTGGACATAGGCCTACAGCACAGCAGGCAAACGCTACACCTGGGGTGTAATCATTACCCCGATTATGTTACAAAACGTAACGAAACCGTTTACTCTAAAAGGAAAATGCAAGGGAGAGTTTCTATTAAACAAATCCAGGTAGGTCCCTCCCCGTTTTGTCCCGGTTGCTCTGTTTGGTTCTTAAACGGTAAACAGTTTCCGTAATGAATACACCACAGAAACTTCCAGCCCAAACATAAGGGCCAAAACTACATTTTGTCATCCCTACGTCGCATCGAAATCCCGGCCATGCTGTCAGGAATAAAAAATACACTTCCGGTGACGTGGCTCCTCTGGAAAACGGGAAGCCGTGGCAGGAATGTTAGCTGTGGCTAACAAGTAGTTATCTGCAGCTGCGGAATCAGCTGGAGAGTGGAACAGCAGCGCTAGCCTGCCTCACGGAGCTGGATGGCAGGGACACACTGGTGCAAGAACTTCAGGAATCACAACAGGGTAAAATATATTCATATCGTTTTTCTAGGTCACGTTACCTATGTACTTTTTCTTCTAATTTGACTGCGTGATTTTAGCAATCCTAACTAGCTGACTTCAACTTCCAAGGCTTGAAATGCTAGGTCTTGGTTAGCTAAGCGTGCTAGCTGAGTTTGTTTATAGACAGCCCTTCATGCGTCACGACCAGAACTTTCCAAGTAACAGTGCGAATTAGATTATAGGCTACTGTAGGCTATTGTTTTTTGGCAACCAGTTACTATAAGTAAAAACAAAAGTCACCTAACTAGCTAAATAAATCCCTGCAATGTATATCCAACATAGTAGATACAGCTGTTGCTACAGTGAGTGAGATTTGTTACATTGTAACTAACGTTAGATGGGCTACAAATTGTTACAAATCATTAAAATGTTACAATGTTTGGGCCTTTTCGGAACGTGTGCAACATTAGCTTGTGCTATGTCGTCTCAACTTTTACTGCGAGAGCTGTTTGGCATCACACAACAGGATATCATCAGCACCCTATATCTATCGTTGAAGTAAACATGCATTTAACTTGTTCCTGCAAGCCATGTTTGCGAATTCTTCACAACACCTAACTTTTATGTGTTGTTTTTCTCCCATATATTTGAGATTTTCCTCCGCCGTGAACAGCGCTCTAATGGACACATTCAAAATGCGGCGCTGACGTGTAGATGGGGTACCGCAGGCCAGGGGGCTCCGGAACATTATCATACATACAGCCATATGAAGTTAATATACTAATATTTTTCTGAATTAAACGTGACCCATAGGTATTTTGTTTAGTTCAAGTCAAGATGCTGTGCAATAGGTCCCCTGAGACACGTTTTCTTAGACATTAACAGACATTTTCAAATCAACCTACTACTGTGACCTGTACGCTCTTGTTGGCTGGTCCTCACTACATATTCGTCGCCAAACCCACTGGCTCCAGGCCATCTATAAATCACTGCTAGGCAAATCCCCGCCTTATCTTAGCTCATTGGTCACCATAGCAACACCCACCCGTAGTCTGCGCTCCAGCGGGTATATCTCACTGGTCATCCCCAAAGCCAACACCTCCTTTGGCCGCAATTCCTTCCAGTTCTCTGCTGCCAATGACTGGAACAAATTGCAAAAATCTCTGAAGCTGGAGACACTTATCTCCCTCACTAACTTTAAGCATCAGTTGTCAGAGCACCTTACCGATCACTGCACCTGTACACAGCCCATCTGAAATTAGCCCGCCCAACTACCTCATCCCTATATTGTTATTTATTTTGCTCATTTGTACCCCAGTACCTCTATTTGCACAGCATCTCTTGCACATCTATCATTCCAGTGTCAATACTAATTGTAATTATTTTGCACTATAGCCTATTTTATTGCCTTACCTCCATAACTTGCTAAATTTGCACACACTGTATATATATGTATTTCTGTAGTATTTTTTTTATTTATTTTTTATTATTATTATTATTATTTTATTTTTTTTACTTTGTTTTGTTTTACCCCATATGTAACTCTGTATTGTTGTTTTTATCGCACTGCTTTGCTTTATCTTGGCCAGGTCGCAGTTGTAAATGAGAACTTGTTCTCAACTGGTTTACCTGGTTAAATAAAGGTGAAAAAAAAAAAAAAAAAAAAACCTAAGCGGGTGCTCATGGAGCACCTTTTCCATCTGTTTTGGTGAAAGGTCTACCCTAAAAAGGGATTTATTTGGTCCTGTCCATTTTTTTATCTGTCGTCACACTATCTCAACCTTAGCCTTAGCCTACACTACCGGTCAAACGTTTAAGAACACCTGCTCTACATTGTAACTACATCATATATACAGAAGATAGCCCTATTTGGTAAAAGACCAAGTCCATATTATGGCAAGAACATCTCAAATAAGCAAAGAGAAATGACAGTCCATCATTACTTTAAGACATGAAGGTCTGTCAATATGAAACATTTCAAGAACTTTGAAAGTATCTTCAATTGCAGTCGCAAAAACCATCAAGCGCTATGATGAAACTGGCTCTCATTAGGACCGCCACAGGAATGGAAGACCCAGAGTTACCTCTGCTGCAGAGGATGAGTTCATTAGAGTTACCAGCCTCAGAAATTGCAGCCCAAATAAATGCTTCACAGAGTTCAAGTCACAGACACATCTCAACATCAACTGTTCAGAGGGGACTGTGTGAATCAGGCCTTCATGGTCTAATTGCTGCAAAGAAACCACTACTAAAGGACACCAACAATAAGAAGAGACTTGCTTGGGCCAAGAAACACGAGCAATGGACATTAGACTGGTGGAAATGTGTCCTTTGGTCTGAGTCCAAATTGGAGATTTTTGGTTCCAACCAGTGTGTCTTTGTGAGACGCGGTGTAGGTGAACGGATGATCTCCGCATGTGTATTTCTCACCATAAAGCATGGAGGAGGAGGTGTTATGGTGTGGGGGTGCTTTGCTGGTGACACTGTCTGTGATTTATTTAGAATTCAAGGCACACTTAACCAGCGTGGCTACCCCAGCATTCTGCAGCGATACGCCATCCCATCTGGTTTGGGCTTAGTGGGACTATCATTTGTTTTTCAACAGGACAATTACCCAACACACCTCCAGGCTGTGTAAGGGCTATTTTACCAAGAAGGAGAGTGATGGAGTGCTGCATCAGATGACCTGGCCTCCACAATCCCCTGACCTCAACCATATTGAGATGGTTTAGGATGAGTCGGACGGCAGAGTGATTTGAAAAGCAGCCAACAAGTGCTCAGCATATGTGGGAACTCCTTCAAGCATTCCAGGTGAAGCAGGTTGAGAGAATGCCAAGAGTGTGCAAAGCTGTCATCAAGGTGGCTATTTGAAGAAACTCAAATATAAAAATTTGTTTAACACTTTGTTGGTTACTACATGTTTCCATATGTGTTATTTCATAGTTTTGATGTCTTCACTATTATTCTACAATGTAGAAAATAGTAAAAATAAAGAAAGACACTTGCATGAGTAGGTGTTCTAAAACTTTTGACCGGTAGTGTACATTTTCTACACAAACTGCTTGGCAGTGAATGTGTATACAATTTGTTTGAGAAAGCATCTGTTGAGTTTATAATGCATGTAGGCCTATCTACATTCTGTGATGGCATCTCCATCTTGCAACATTGTCCTTGTTGGTTGCAGGTGTTCTCTGGAACGTGGGACGGATGAAAGCAGGAGGTGGTAGGCCCAGCTGGGCGTTTACTGCACTGTTCACTGGTGCTGCCCTGCTGGTCGTCTCCTCCAGAGGGTCGTCCAGTGGTAAGAAGATGTCCCAGGCAGCCATGGCTCATGCCACAGCCACAGCCGCTGGTTCTGGGCATCCAGATGAGCTCCTAGGCTTCCAGGCCTTAGCCGACTTCTTTGCAAGCGAACGTGCCGATGTCTGGCTCTGCTCTCTGGTTGGGTCTGTTGCTGTAGGCCTCAGTGGAATTTTCCCCCTCCTTGTTATTCCTATTGAGGCCGGAGCGGCCCTCAAGACAGAGGGTAAGTTGTGACCTAAACTGATATGAAAGCCTGGCTGTTAGTCAGACTAATATAGGCCTACTCTTTCCTCTGAAAATGAGCCACACTGGATAGGCCTCGATCACCATACACCCAGAATTAGACACCCTGAGGTAGCCTACAGTGACTGACTTACCATTAGGCAAAAGAGGCAAATGCCTCACATCATGAAGGGGCCCTCGTGAGCTGGGCATAATTTAAAATAATTTTTAATAAATGTACCGCCTCCCATGTTCTGCTCTGTTTTTTCTAAAGATCCATTTAAATATAAAGCAATAGTACCTCTATTTTCCTCTGGAGAGGAAACTGCTGCTAATGGGATGAACCATGTGGCTCTGAACTCTGCCTGACCACACCCTTTTAAACCAAGCCTTCAAGTAGAGTAGGTAGAGGCCACATTCACTACCTCCAAAGCTGCGTTGCTGATTTTCTTTGCCTTGAGTATTTAACCATGTGAGATACCGGTACTATTTATGTGCACATAGTGTTACAAACTGTTAAATTGGGGTCAAATGTCAATATTCCTTTGCACCATTGGGATTATGCTTTTGGCTCACCCAAATTATGCAGTGTTTGTTTTAGGACAAGTCTTTTCTAAATCAGTGTTTTTTGTTACCAGAGAAAGTAATTATAAAGGGATCACTGAAATAAGCCTAGTTGGATAATGGATAAATGTGTCAATGGGAATGGTGCTGAATTTGGTGTGTCCTCATTACCATACTGTATTCTTCAGACTCTCAAACACGAGAAACCAGGCCACTAAGTATTGCATTTCAACACCTCTCAGAAAACACAATTAACAATGAAGAGCACTGGCTTTTGTCTGTCCTGGTCCTTTGTGCTTATTAGTCTTGGTAAGGAGAGACAAGTCAGATCACTAATGCCATGTTGTAATATCATAGCAATGGCAATTGCTGTCTCTGAAGCTGTGCATTCAGAAGTTAGAAAAAATCTATCCAATTAAATCGAGAAATTACCCAGTAGGCCTATTTCTTTAATTCAGTCATAGTCATACTTAATGAAAATGTTTAAATAGAAATAAAACATGTAATGGCTCTTAATTTGAAAGCTAGCAATATAAAATCACTTATTCCGCAGGTTTATTTTAAATGAAGCCTGTAAATGTTTTGGCTCAAACAGAGAACAACCAGCGCTTTTGTATATCATGGATGATACAGCCTAGCTCGACTACACTTTTCATAATTGCCGCCTCTTTCTCTCTTGTTACTCTCTGTGTCTCCAGCTGGGTGTCGGAAGCTTAAGCAGCTCCTGAGCTTTGCCATTGGTGGTCTCCTGGGTGATGTGTTCCTCCACTTGCTCCCGGAGGCTTGGGCACATTCCCACTCCTGCAGCCCAGGTGGGTCAACCTTCTCTCTCAGGCACCCTCCTGTTCTTTCTGTCCCCTTCTTTACCCCTAATGGTGACATCCCCATTCAAACTGCCTGTGCTTATTTCTCCCCACCAGTAGAACTCTTCTGACCCTTCACACAGAGGAGTGGAATGCCTGGGTGTCCATAGACTTGCATATCACTGCTCTGACATGTCAGCAATATTGTGAAGATAGTCTGTTTCCGAAAACAGTTGATTTCTACACCTTTCAAACTGACAGAGTCAGAGAATGACTGCTAACGTTCCCAGGGTACCACATTTCATTTTCGAATAAGTGAACATTGGAAGTGCCGATATTCTGTTCAGTTTTAAAGATTTGTCAACTATAGCATTTTACAATGACTCTTCAAAGCAGTTTTAGTGCAAAAATATATACACTGAACAAAAATATAAATGCAACACTTTCAAAGATTTTACTGAGTTATAGTTCATATAAGGAAATCAGTCAATTGAAATAAATTCATTAGGCCCTAATCTATGGATTTCACATGACTGGGAATACAGATATGCAGTTATTGGTCACAGATAACTTAAAGGGAATTAGTCAGAAAACCAGTTGCTGGATATTGGCGGGAACTGAAACCCGCTGTCGATCCAGAGCATCCCAAACATGCTCAAAGGGTGACGTCTGGTGAGTATGCAGGCCATGGAAGAACTGGTATATTTTCAGCGTCCAGGAATTGTTTGCAGATCCTTGCAACATGGTGCCGTGCATTATCATGCTGAAACATGAGCTGATGGCGGCGGATGAATGGCATGACAATGGGCCTCAGGATCTCGTCACGGTATCTCTATGTACTCAAATTGCTATCAATAAAATGCAATTGTGTTCGTTGTCTGTAGCTTATGCCTGCCCATACCATAACCCCACCTCCACCATGGTGCACTGAAGGTGAGCATTTGCTCATTGAAGTCAGTTACGACACCGAACTGCAGTCGGGTCAAGACCTTTGTGAGGACGACAAACACGCAGATGAGCTTCCCTGAGATGGTTTATGACAGTTTGTGCAGAAATTCTACGGTTGTGTAAAACCACAGTTTTGTCCGGTGGATTCACCTGCGGTCTCAGACGATTCCACAGGTGAAGAAGCTGGATGTGGAGGTCCTGGGCTGGCGTGGTTACACGTTGTCTGCGATTGTGAGGTCGGTTGGACATACTGCCATATTCTCTAAAACGACGTTGGAGGTGGCTTATGGTAGAGAAATGAACATTCAATTTTCTGGCAACAGCTCTGGTGGACATTCCTGCAGTCAGCATGCCAATTGCAGGCTCCCTCAACTTAAAGACATCTGTGGCATTGTGTTGTGACAAAACTGCTGATTTTAGTGGCCTTTTATTGTCCCCAGCACAAGGTGCACCTGTGTAATGATCATGCTGTTTAATCAGCTTCTTGATATGCCACACCTATCAGGTGGATGGATTATAGTGGCAAAGGAGAAATGCTCACTAACAAATGTGTGCACAACATTTGAGAGAAATAAGCTTTTTGTGCGTATGGAACATTTCTGTGATCCTTTTATTTCAGCTCATGAAACATGTGACCAACACTTTACCATTTGTTTTATATTTTTGTTCAGTGTGTTTTTTTTGTAGACTCATTTAGGATCACCAGGGGCGCATTCAGCAGGACGCAACATTTTGGAACGTTCACATGGCATATATTTCTATCCAAACTCCAATCCCCCCAACAGGATTAAAAAAAAAAAGTGTAGCCCACGACAAGCACACCTGAATCAACTTGTTAACAAATCCTCAAGCCCTCGATGAGATGAATAAGTTGTGCTTGTCCGGGGCTACATCAAAAATGTGTACTGTTGGGGGGACTGGTGTTGGGAAACATGTCAGCTCTATTCATGGCATTTCTATCTGCAACGTTCAACAACGTCTGGCAACTGGACATGGCCCAGGATTAAGTTTCCCTAACCTAAGGTCCTCTGGTTGTCATGTAGAAATACACTTTAAAATGCTTTGCTGACTTGTGTGAAGTCCTCTGTGGTGATGATGAGCAACCCTAAGCCATGCCTGCATTCCACTGATCCATGTGAAAGTGGGTCACCATGCAATCCTAGAGAAGGTTTTCCAATTAGTTTGTCAGCCTATCTCACTGTATGTCTCTTCCATCCTCCCTGTGTTCAGACGAGAGCCATCACCACTACAGGACCCAGGGCCTGTGGGTTATCATGGGCATGCTGTCCTTCCTTCTCCTGGAGAAGATGTTTCCAGATGAGAACAGCCAGGAGGACTCCATTGGTAACAGCCAGCATGTCCCTGTGAGTAGTTCATGCTGTTTTATTTTCCATGTTGTCTACATGAAATGAAGTGCAACAGAGAGTCGTGTCAAGGCACCGCATACAACTATTTAATAGGCAAAAATGATTTAAAGAAATAGTGGGCATGTCTTTCCAAAGAAGGTGAATGTCAGGCATGTAATTACACACCCTCATCCCACATGCTGGAGCCCTCACATTTTTGTTTAGAAGGCTTGTCCAGTGCACCAGTGCTCTTTAATCCCTTCACTGGTACCACAGTGGCACTGCTCTTCCATGTGGTGGGGCTGCTAGTGAATCAGTTGGCTCTGTCAAGGGCTTTCTGTTTGATCTGAGCTGATCTTCAGTGGATAACTGATCTAAACTAAAACAAGGCACGTTAGATCATCTTGATTGATAGTGTTGTGGCTGAAGAAACCACAATCAGTGTTTATTACACTCTTAAGTGATGAATCATTAGCATTTTAACTTCAACAATCAACTTCTGAATTTAGGCCACCTTAAGGTAATGATTAAACAGTGTTGTAATGACACATTCTGGCCTGAATGGGAATCTCCCAGAATGGTCTTATTTAGAACTTCATAAGTGGAGTTTGAGTCCAAATTGAAAAGAAGAAGTCTGAGTCAGACAAATGTCATAAGCTGGTTTCCATCCAATTTGCGACAGATTTGAATGCGAATATTATAAAATATGCATGTAAAATAAAATATGCATATTTTCCCACTAGAGGTTTGATTCCATCAAACTGACGTGTTGCGGATAAAAGGCTGTGTGATGTAGTGCACATAACCACTTTTGCGCTAAAGTTTTCATGTTCTGACTAAAATACAGAAGTTCAATGTATTTCCATTGCATTTTCCACTCTATCAACGGTTTTTCACACAAACTGTTGCGATAAATGGCAAACGTGCCCAATCTAGTTTTGCCGCATTCTCTCTAGACAACAGTTTGCAGTTAAAGTGGACAGGTTAGGTTATATGATGAGATGGATAAGAGTAAGATGATCTTTTGGCAGCTAAGCACAAATCATCATGTCACTAGCATATAAAATACTCAATATTTATTGGAAAGGAGCATTAAGATCGTAACTGTGCACCACCCTGTGAAGTTCATCATAACTTCTTTAATCTGAAGCCTAATAAACTGCATGCTTTTAATAAACCACACAACATAGCATTGCGTGACTAAATTCTATCAACAATTGCGCAAGAGTTTCCACCGCAATTTGTTGCATAATTCATTTTACCGACACAAAGATCCCACCATGTCGAACAAGCAAATTTTCTGTCGACAATAATGAAATTGTACCGACACTTCTTGTTTCCATCCCAGCTGTCATGATTTTTTACATGGTATAACTTTACTTGCATAAAAACTGGATGGAATCGTGGTTGCTAATGCAACCTTATCGCTCCCCTACCCCCACAATCTCATGGAGGGACCCATTGTGCCATAGCCCGGAGTGTCTATCTGCTAGACATGCTTGGGATCAAAGCTGTATTCTCTCTCCCCTCCATTTCTCTAATACCAGTGAGACCCTTTTTCATATGAGATTTGGAGTGGGTATTAGTGCGGAGTATTAGCTTCAGGATTCTTTTGATGTTTTGGCATATAGGAGTATGGCGTGGTTTTGGGTGGTGCATTTTCCCTGTCTGACAGTGGTTTGAGATGTTCTCTGCTCTGTAGAAATGGGAGAGCTTCTTGTAGAGTATGTAAAACAGAGGTACACAACTGCAGTCTTTGAAGGCCTTAATACCTGTAGGCTTCCTTTTTGATCAATTTAATTCACTGATATAGTCAATTCTAAATTGCTTTCGAAAAGGTACGGATGAAAACCAGCACTTTAAATCATACTTCGTTTGTGATCCCATATGCTAACATTGTTATTCAAGAGATAATCCTTAATTTAATTTCAGGTAGTTCTCAGTTTCTTATCCTTGTGCCCCATTCATCTCGCAAAAGGTGTGTGTGTGTGTGTGTGTGCACCACTTTCCTCCTTTTGCTCAGGAGAAGGAAGATTGGCGTCCATGTCTGGGCTCATTCATTGTAGCTATTTATAGAGATGGGGAGGAAGCAGCTGCTACATCTACTTCAGAGAGGCCTGAGAAGAGTGTTCAGGGGTGGATAGTGAGACTCTGGGTAGATCAGTGCTCATTCCACAAATGGAGTCTTATCAAGCATGTTTAGATGTCAGTATCAAGACGCTGTTAATATTCAAGTCAGAGACATAGATCATAGGTCACGATCTCACCTGGCGTCATACTCTCCAATTAATTACCCAGACCACTCACACTTTAGGGGACATATTGATATTTCAGAAGATATGTACAATTTGACTTCTTCCTTGTGCTGCGGTTACAAAAATAGAGAACATTTCCCAGCCACATTTAGAATACAGCAGGCTATTTCCCCTCATTTAATTTGACTTAAATGATGACGTACTGTAAATGGCTCTAAACGAGGAAGGAACAGGGAAGTCAGCCCTGCTCTGGAAAAGAGAAGGGCCTGGGGTAGAATGAGTTTTTTTGTTCAAAGCACGCAAAGGCAGTGGAAGATGCGATGACTGACAGGAATTGTAGGAATTACTGTGCAGTCAGTGGTTGGAAAAGATGGGTGAGGAGAGAGGCTATGGGTAGTAAGGACCTGGTAACATAGAAGAAACACAGCACTGTAGGTTGTGGTTCAATGTAATGTATATGTGTACTATGTAACCCTTTGCATGCTATGGAATTTCCTGCTGATTGGGCTAATACCTGTTTTCTTTGTCACCCATTCTTCTCAGACCTCCCATAGCTCAGACTCCAGTAGTGAGGCGTTGTCCCACATCAATGGGCACCATTCTGATACGTGGAGCTCGTCCTCCAAGCCAAAGAGCAGCTTGCAGCAAGTGCCAAAGAAAATAAAGGTAAGTTGGATCAAATGGGTAAGGTTTGTCTGACAGGATATTGTTCATTTTAACAAGACCATATGTAAATGACAAAAGGGAGAACAATCTGGAAGTCTACATCGCTTAAGAGACACCAAACTGAAATCCCCAGAGAGCGACCAAACTGAAATCCTCTGTACTAAGTAACCCCTTTAGTTTTATGTATATGACTTCAATGTGAGTCAGCTGTGGGATCCTTTTGAATGTTAACCTGTACAGACTTTGTTCTATGTGTTCTCTATCTGGCAGACGATTGGGTACCTGAACCTGCTGGCCAACTGCATTGACAACTTCACCCATGGCCTGGCTGTGGCAGGGAGCTTCCTGGTCAGCAGGAAAGTGAGTTACTCTGAAGCACAAATCTCTGCAATGAACAGTCTGTCCAGGTGCTCTATACTAAATAGCGGCCATGTGTGGGTTTTTAATACATGTGAATGAAACCTAATAGCAGTGACTAATTTCAATACAAACGTTTCAACAAAATGCAACTTGGTTAGAAACAATGCATACAATGCTTAAACTTAGAGCCGACATAGTACAGACTACAGTATGTTATGAAAGGTGGTTGTTTTGGAATTTGAGAGGCTCATGCCCTTCTCGTGACCATGATTGGCAGAGGACCCAAACCCCTTGGCAGACTCGTAGATGGCTGTATCAGCTCTCACTTAGCCATAACATTCACTATTCTCATAGCCGTAACGTGCACTTCTCAGCTCTCCACTATGGGCATGATACTGCACCCCTGCTTAAGAGACTAGTTTCAACAACACAATTCTATGATTTAAATACTAAGTACAGTATTGTCATTATTACACAACATTGAGTCAGGACATTGAATTCTACTGTGCTATTTTCTGATGGAGAATTAGCATTACTTTACCCACGGTTGTAGGGGAGAAAGTCCAGCTGGATAGGCATAAGGCTAACAGCATGAGCCAATGGGAGAGTTTGCCAGAGAGGAAGTAAACTAGCTAGATGTCTCTACATCGCTCACACACTGGCATCACACTTATTTTGGTTTCCATCTGCACTCGTATGCAGGCATGATGGTGTTTGTCAAAGTAGAAGCCTAGTTGGATGCGTGAAACAAACATTTATGTATACACACTAATGTAGTACAGGAGATGAGTTATCGGAGTTTGAGTAGTATAGGATTGGAAACGCAACTTGTACAGTATATATTTTGCAGAGCCTGATCAGAGACATGTTATATGTATTTCCTGACAGGTTGGGTGTCTCACAACCTTTGCTATCCTGCTCCATGAAATCCCCCATGAGGTAAGTTCAAACTCGCTATTTTTAGGGGGATGTGACCTATTTATGAAAAAAAAATGTTTGTAACATACTTCATGCCATTGAAAGCTAATTATGACTTTGGTTTTTGGTCATGAGTTGATTCAGTTCTAGTTGATATCCCCATCTTTTTTTGCTTACATAAATGGAATCTGTGACACATTGCTGACATGGGAATCTGTGACACATTGCTGACATGGGAATCTGTGACACATTGCTGACATGTGAATCTGTGACACATTGCTTACATTAATGTGGTCTGTAACACACAGCTTTTATGATTTTTGCTCATCTCTAGGTGGGCGACTTTGCCATCCTGCTGCGTGCAGGGTTTGACCGCTGGAGTGCCGCCCGCATGCAGCTGTCCACAGCCCTGGGAGGGGTGCTGGGGGCCTGTTTCGCCCTGTGTGCCCATTCTCCCAGAGGGACAGGTGAGCCGCCTATCATCCTCCATATACAAAACAGCAGCAGAGCACTGAAACTACAGCGCCACACCAGGTGCTTGACTTGGACTGAAATAAGGGCCAGTACTTATTTTGGGTGCCGGTACTGTTTTATATTTAGGTGCAAGAGCGCCACAATACATTTGAGCTAATATTCTGTAAGAGGTGCAGGAGCTAAAGCGGTAGACCATTTTAGGTGCCGGTACTCCGCTCCGGTGAGCTCCTGCCCATGTCGAGCACTGTCCACACCCTTGGCATAGGCTATCAGGGGACCATATAGCCTTCCGTGCTTTGGCCTCCAAGCAGCATGAAAAGCTTTGTTTAATTATTAAGGCAAACCAAATGTCTCATTCGTTTCACTTCATCCTGTGTAGAAAATGTAACATCGTGGATCTTACCATTCTCCTCGGGAGGCTTCCTGTACATAGCCCTGGTCAACGTGGTGCCTGACCTCCTGGAGGAGACCAGCCTTGGGTATGTACACTGGTCAATCTGGACAGCCACTGACCACCATGCAAATACTCACTATAAACTAAGAGTAAATATGCAGAGGGGAAAAACTGTTAACGCTAAAATGAAAATGAATGGGCAGACACTGAATCAAGTATTTTTATGTATTTTTTCTCTGTTTTTCCAGACACTCCCTGTTGCAGATCCTGCTTCTGTGCTGTGGCATTGGTGTCATGGCCGTCTTGTCTGCCATAGTGGATTGAACTCAAAGGACAAGCCTGCTTTTACCAAAATATCATTCAAAACCATCACAGCAACCTCTACTGGACTGGGAAACAATCCCCTTTCTATAAAGTTTTAAGTCCTCAGATTGCACTCAATCGCCCTTTTTTTTTATTATATGGAACTATTTTTAATACTCCACCTAGTGCCAAAAGATCCTATCATCAGCATCAGCATCGCCATCATCAACATGGAAGCGATCCGACAATCAGAACGGCACCTTGAATCATGGTACCTGCTTTTTCTATCAGGACTGTAGACTGTGTTCACCTTGTCTGCTGACCTCTCAGACTACTGTCTGTGTGGACACTAATGTGCCAAACCCAGAGACAGACATTTTGAAACGGCAAGAGAGCTAAATAAATCTTATTGAAGCTTTCATGGACGTAACTGGACTATATGAGCGCATCAGACCATAATGGGCAGACAATCAGTCTCATCTGTTTTATTGTACATATGCATAAACTCACAACCAGGTATTATCAGACACATATGAGCAGCTAATGCATACTGTATAAACTTAATCTCACATGGCTTTACTACCTACCATACTAAAATGCATACACATTTCCTTACATTCTTCAAGCTGTATGCTCATGTGCTGCTTTCTATTGGTTTCTCCTCTTTCAAGCTATTTTATATTTATTGTATCTAGTCTATATACACGTTAGTCTTATTGGTTACTGTATCTGCTTGTACTGCTAAGTATTTATTGAAGTAGTTCAGAAAGTAACATGGTGCAATATTTTTGTCATAAATTCTGTTACGATTTCCACCACTCCATTACACACACACACCATATTGCTTTTTGTGTTGGGTTAATCTGTTACATTTGATGTATATTCAAGCAAAACGAGCATGTATTTTTCAATTGTATACAATGCTAATTTGATAGTAAGACAGACACTCAGACAGATATATTTGGAACTCCTTAATTATGAGAGCTTAATTTGTTAAGGAAAATATGATTTTTAAATGTAATAAAATAATGTTATGCAAAATAGTTTTGTGTGGTCTTGATTTGGCTATGCTTTCAGAATGTATTCACACCCCTTGACTTTTTCCACATTTTGTTACAAAGTGGGATTCAAATTGATTTCATTGTTCTTTTTTTGTCAACGAGTTGGGAAGGGCCCTGTATATTTGTAGTGATACACCATCCAAAGTGTAATTTAATAACTGCATCATGCTCAAAGGGATATGTAATGTCTGCCACCCCATCTACCAATAGGTGCCCATTTCTAACTATTCAAAACCTCCCTGGTCTTTGTGGTTGAATATGTGCTTGAAATGTACTGCTCAACTGAGGGACCTTACAATTATCTGTATGTGTGAGGTATAGAAATGGGGTAGTCATTTAAAAATCATGTTTAACTATTATTGCAGAGTCCATGCAACTTATTACATGACTTGTTAAGCACATGTTTACTCCTGAACTTATTTAAGCTTGCCATAACACAAGTATTGAATACTTATTGACTCAAGACATTTTAGATTTCATTTTTAATTCATTTGTAAAGATTCCACTTTCACATTATGGGGTATTGTGTGTAGATCAGTGACACGAAATCTCTATTTAAAACAATTTTTATTCAGGCTATAACACAACAAAATGTGGAAAAAGTCAAAGGTGTGAATACTTTCTGAAGGCACTGTATTCACCCTTGGTAGTTGCATGCTCACAAGTTACAGCAAATGAAGGATATGGAGATTATGCATCAATATGTTATGCAATCAAAACAAAATTCCACACTAAACATAAACATTTTCTGTAAGCACATGTTCTGCAGCAAAGAGTCCGGGCCTAAAATGTAATGGGGGGTATTGATTGTTTGTTAATTCTTGACAAGAGCCCGTTGCCATAACGACTCCCCTGCAGATTACCTTCCTTAGTCCTGTGTCTGTGGGAGCCTTCCTGTGAGTTAAGACACTGAAGCCCCGTTTATACCTGGTTCTAACATGCACCAGTTATCTTGATCTTGTCCACATTCTGATTGTGCCCACACTTTCAGACAGGTGTAGACGATTAAAAGACACATTGTGATCAGATCTTCCTGACCACTTCCGGAGGTAGTCAGGCACGCATTGGGAGAATCTCAATTGAATACTCCTCACATGCCTTCGCCTTGCCTTCTTAAAACCCATTGGATGAGAAAGCCAGATGTCCCTCCCCTCTGACATCCTCCAATGGGTTTTGAGAAGGAGGCGAGGAGAGAGGATGCAATTGAGATTCTCCCATAGTGTCTGGATATCTTACAAGTGTAGACGGATCTGGACAGTGAAACCATTTTTAAATAATCAGTATCACACCTAAAATCATTGACATGTGGCACCATTAACTTATGGCATGTATTTGTGTCTTAAAATAAATAAAGAATGTCTGTCAAATCATTTACATACAGGGAGGGACCAAGAAATCTAGTCACAATGCAGACAGTGGACGGATATGAGACACATTTTAATTCCATGTGTAGAATGCGAACAAGATCAGGACAAGGGACGCATGTTAGCGCCAGGTATAAACGAGACTTGAATAACAACCTCTGAGAAATTCCATAAACTTAACACCGTTGACCATAAACTTAACACTGTTGACCTCAAACATAAATCGCCTCTCTGACCATCTATCGGAACATTGCACAACATTTCTAACAGGAGATAGATATATATTGATCCCACTAGGTCCTAGGAAATACAAGTCCAGTTCAAGATCAGCGGACCTCCAAACTCAAGTCTGGTACACTTCGGACAAGGCTTGTGTATAATTTGTTCAGTGAAAATGTTTGATACCTTGTTGGTAGGGGATCACATCTTGCACATAGTATACCCAGAGAAAATGATTGTATGATCAATGCATGTAAAGTCTTTCAAGGAAATCTATTCTGGCACTATTGAACGATTTTCATTGATATCTTTACCTCCCTTTACCTCAGATGAACAATTGAGACCCATATGCACAATTCTGAATAGGAATATGTCCCCAAAACTTCCTTGGTGATGCTTTACACTAAGTTGCTCTTATACTTGTGTAATAACAATGTAATTACTCTATTAACGATGTAATTATTCTAGTAATAACATTTAATGAATATGTACACCTTATTGCATTGTATTGTAAATGAAAACCTATCCCTAAGTGGATATAGCATGACAGTGCTGAAGTACTGATTGAATGTCTCTCCAAAGTTTTGTAAAACGTTTCTGTGATATACAGTAGCAGTGTTTTTGGATCAGCCAAGCCTGAGTGAAGGAGGAATACAATTTGATTAATCTTAAATATTGATGTTGTTGTCATGTAGCCCAGGGGTCTCCAACCCTGTTCCTAGAGAGCTACCTTGTCACGCCCTGACTCAGAGGACTTGCATTTGTTGAGTCAGGGTGTGTATTTTCTGTGTAGTATGTTCTATGTTGTATTTTCTAGGTTAGATCTAGATCGTCTATATCTATGTTGGCCGGTCTGGTTCCCAATCAGAGGCAGCTGTCGCTCGTTGTCTCTGATTGGGGACCATACTTAGGTAGCCTATTGGCACTAGTGGGTTGTGGGATCTTGTTCCAGTTAAGGTATGTTGTGTTGTGCTGCCTTGGACTTCACGTTTCGTTTTGTTTGTTATTTTGTCGATGTGTTTAAACGGTAAAATAAACATGTATGCATATTACGTTGCGCCTTGGTCCGTCCCGTCTGTAAACGAACGTGACAGAAGATCCCACCAAACGAGGACCAAGCAGCGTGTTCAGGAGCAAACGCCGGGAATTCAACAGGAGATTACATTAGTAGATGTCCTCCTCGGTTGGGGGAGAATTACGGAGGAGGAGGCCGTCCGTTACCGGAAGGCGATGAAGGAGGATGCCCAGGTAGGAGAGGAGAAACGGCGCTAACAGTGCCGACGACGGAGACCCGAGAGGCAACCCCAAGACATTTTTTTGGGGGGGCACACGGTGTGGACGACGAGGCAGCAGGAGGCCGTTAAAGGGCGGGTCTGCAGGTTAGGAGAGGAGGCCACCATGTTACGGTTCAGAGGGAGCAGGAGTTATTCGGTCAGAGGGAGGCGCTACAGGAGGCTATAAGGGAGAAGGAATGTGTAGAGGCACGGCGAGAGGAGCTGGTTAGGCAGCAGAAGGAGCGGGGTTTAATAAAGGAACCCAGTCCCGCTCCTCACACCAAGCAAGTGGTGCGTGTCGCCAGTCCGGTCCGGCCCGTTCCTGCTTCCCGCACTAAGCCAGTGGTGCGTGTTCCCAGTACGGCCCGACCCGTTCCTGCCCCTCGCACCAAGCCAGTGGTGCGCGTCGCCAGTCCGGCCCGTCCTATTCCTGCTTCCCGCACCAAGTCAGTGGTGCGCGTCGCCAGCCCGGTCCAGCCTGTTCCTGTCCCTCGCACCAAGCCAGTGGTGCGCGTCGCCAGCCCGGTCCGGCCTGTTCCTGTACCTCGCACCAAGCCAGTGGTGCGCGTCGCCAGCCCGGTCCGGCCTGTTCCTGTCCCTCGCACCAAGCCAGTGGTGCGCGTCGCCAGCCCGGTCCTGCCTGTTCCTGCCCCTCGCACCAAGCCAGTGGTGCGCGTCGCCAGCCCGGTCCGGCCTGTTCCTGCCCCTCGCACCAAGCCACTGGTGCGCGTCGCCAGCCCGGTCCGGCCTGTTCCTGCTCCTCGCACCAAGCCAGTGGTGCGCGTCGCCAGTCCGGCCCGTCCTGTTCCTGCTTCCCGCACCAAGCCAGTGGTGCGCGTCGCCAGCCCGGTCCGGCCTGTTCCTGACCCTCGCATCAAGCCAGTGGTGCGCGTCGCCAGCCCGGTCCGGCCTGTTCCTGTCCATCGCACCAAGCCAGTGGTGCGCGTCGCCAGCCCGGTCCGGCCTGTTCCTGTCCCTCGCACCAAGCCAGTGGTGCGCGTCGCCAGCCCGGTCCGGCCTGTTCCTGTCCCTCGCACCAAGCCAGTGGTGCGCGTCGCCAGCCCGGTCCGGCCTGTTCCTGCCCCTCGCACCAAGCCAGTGGTGCGCGTCGCCAGCCCGGTCCGGCCTGTTCCTGCTCCTCGCACCAAGCCAGTGGTGCGTGTGTCCAGTCCGGCACGGCCCGTGCCTGTTCCACCGGTGCCTGGTTCGGCACCGGTCAGCTGCTCCACTCCGGAGCCAGAGCAATCCGCTTCACCGGGGTCCAGACCAGCTCCGGTCAGCGGCTCCACTCCGGAGCCAGAGTAGTCCGCTCCACCGGTGCCTGATCCAGCTCCGGTCAGCTACTCCACTCCGGAGCCAGAGCAATACGCTTCACCGGGGTCCAGTCCAGATCCGGTCAGCGGCTCCAGTCCGGAGCCTGAGCAGTTCGCTCCACCGTCGTCGGGTCCAGCTCCAGTCAGCGGTTCCAGTCCAGACCCAGACATCAGCCCCTCTCCAGGTTCGGGGTCTCCCACACCAGAGTCCAGACAGGGCTTGGTACTTCGTGGGAGGAAGGAGAGGGCAAGCAGCGTGCCGAGGTCCGACCAGACCGGGGCGCACAGGGGGCGGAGAGTAAGGGTCGTCACGCCCTGAGCCGGATCCGCCTCCGAGGCGGTGAACTACCTGTTATGGTTTTTGCGCGTCGAGTCCACACCTTGGGGGGGGGGTACTGTCCGCCCTGACTCAGGGACTCGTATTTGGTTGAGTCAGGGTGTGTATTTTTTTTTTGCGTGTGCCGAATCACCTGAATCATGGGCTACACAGCCTGATATCTCCCTCATCTGGGGCTCCACGCAAGATCTCACCCCGTGGGGTCAAAATGATCACAAGAACGGTGAGCAAAATCCCAGAACCACACGGGGGGACCTAGTGAATGAACTGCAGAGAGCTGGGACCAAAGTAACAAAGCCTACCATCAGTAACACAACTACGCCGCCAGGGACTCAAATCCTGCAGTGCCAGACGTGTCCCCCTGCTTAAGCCAGTACATGTCCAGGCCCGTCTGAAGTTTGCTAGAGTGCATTTGGATGATCCAGAAGAGGATTGGGAGAATGTCATATGGTCAGATGAAACCAAAATAGAACTTTTTGGTAAAAACTCAACTCGTCATGTTTGGAGGACAAAGAATGCTGAGTTGCATCCAAAGAACACCATACCTACTGTGAAGCATGGGGGTGGAAACATCATGCTTTGTGGCTGTTTTTCTGCAAAGGGACCAGGACGACTGATCCGTGTAAAGGAAAGAATGAATGGGGCCATGTATCGTGAGATTTTGAGTGAAAACCTCCTTCCATCAGCAAGGGCATTGAAGATGAAACGTGGCTGGGTCTTTCAGCTTGACAATGATCCCAAACACACCGCCCGGGCAACGAAGGACTGGCTTCGTAAGAAGCATTTCAAGGTCCTGGAGTGGCCTAGCCAGTCTCCAGATCTCAACCCCATAGAAAATCTTTGGAGGGAGTTGAAAGTCTGTGTTGCCCAGCGACAGCCCCAAAACATCACTGCTCTAGAGGAGATCCGCATGGAGGAATGGGCCAAAATACCAGCAACAGTGTGAAAACCTTGTGAAGACTTACAGAAAACGTTTGACCTGTGTCATTGCCAACAAAGGGTATATGAACAAAGTATTGAGAAACTTTTGTTATTGACCAAATACTTATTTTCCACCATAATTTGCAAATACATTCATTAAAAATCCTACAATGTGATTTTCTGGAAATGTATTCTGGCACTATTGAACAATGTGCCGATTTTCATTGATATCTTTACCTCCCTTTACCTCAGATGAACAATTGAGACCCATATGCACAATTCTGAATAGGAATGTGTCCCCAAAACTTCCTTGGTGATGCTTTACACTAAGTTGCTCTTATACTTGTGTAATAACAATGTAATTACTCTATTAACAATGTAATTGTTCTAGTAATAACATTTAATGAATATGTACACCTTATTGCATTGTATTGTAAATGAAAACCTATCCCTAAGTGGATATAGCATGACAGTGCTGAAGTACTGATTGAATGTCTCTCCAAAGTTTTGTAAAATGTTTCTGTGATATACAGTAGCAGTGTTTTTGGATCAGCCAAGCCTGAGTGAAGGAGGAATACAATTAGATTAATCTTAAATATTGATGTTGTTGTCATGTAGCCCAGGGGTCTCCAACCCTGTTCCTAGAGAGCTACCTCCTGTTGGTTTTCGCTCCAATTCCAGTTGTAACTAACCTGGTTCAGTTTATCAAGCAGCTAATTATTAGAATCAGGTGTGCTAGATTAGGGTTGGAGTAGCTCTCCAGGAACAGGCTTGGAGAGCCCTGATGTAGGCCTTGGGAAGCCCCTGGTCAGTGTGTCTCCATGTTGTTTTATACATTGAAATGTTAACTATATTGAAAGGCTGTGGGCTCAATTCAATCAAACCTGGATTGTGGGAGTTTGTAAACAAAGACACCAATCATTGCTGTGGTGAGTCCAATTGAATTTCAGCCCACACCTGTCTCAGTGTGTTTGTCAACTGTGCACAGAAAAGGCTTGTAATTAAATATGTTGGGTTTCAAATATGTTTTGATCCAGCATGTGGTCCATGTGCATGTGTATGTTTCTTCATGGCCCAATATACAATACCAGTCAAAAGTTTGAACACACCTACTCATTCAAGGGTTTTTCTTTATGTTTATTATTTTCTACATTGTAGAATAATAGTGAAGACATCAAAACTATGAAATAACACATATGGAATCATGTAGTAACCAAAATCTTACTACATGTGTTAAACAAATCAAAACATATTTTATATTTGAGATTCTTCAAAGTAGCCACCCTTTGCCTCGATGACAGCTTTGCACACTCTTGGCATTCTCTCAACCAGCTTCATGAGGTAGTCACCTGGAATGCATTTCAATTAACAGGTGTGCCTTGTTAAAAGTTAATTTGTGGAATTAATTCCTACTTAATGCGTTTGAGCCAATCAGTTGTGTTGTGACAAGATAGGGGTGGTATACAGAAGATAGCCCAATTTGGTAAAAGACCAAGTCCATATTATAGCAAGAACAGCTCAAATAAGCAAAGAGAAACGACAGTCCATCATTACTTTAAGAAATGAAGGTCAGTCAATACGGATCATTTCAAGAACTTTGAAAGTTTCTTCAAGTGCAGTCGCAAAAACCATCAAGCGCTATGATGAAACTGGCTCTCATGAGGACCGCCACAGGAAAGGAACACCCAGAGTTACCTCTGCTGCAGAGGATAAGTTCATTAGAGTTACCAGCCTCAGAAATTGCAGCCTAAATAAATGCTTCACAGAGTTCAAGTAACAGACACATCTCAACATCAACTGTTCAGAGGGGACTGCGTGAATCAGGCCTTCATGGTCTAATTGCTGCAAAGAAACCACTACTAAAGGACACCAATAATGAAGAAGAGACTTGCTTGGGCCAAGAAACACAAGCAATGGACATTAGACCTGTGGAAATCTGTCCTTTGGTCTGATGAGTCCAAGTTGAGATTTTTGGTTCCAACCGCCGTGTCTTTGTGAGGCGCAGACTAGGTGAACGGATTATCTCTGCATGTGTGGTTCCCACCTTGAAGCATGGAGGAGGAGGTGTGATGGTGTGGGGGTGCTTTGCATTCTGCAACGATACGCCATCCCATCTGGTTGGCGCTTAGTGGGACTATAATTAGTTTTTCAACAGGACAATGACCCAACACACCTCCAGGCTGTGTAAGGGCTATTTTACCAAGAAGGAGAGTGATGGAGTGCTGCATCAGATGACCTGGCCTCCACAATCACCCGACCTCAACCCAATTGTGATGGTTTGGGATGAGTTGGACCGCAGAGTGAAGGAAAAGCAGCTAACAAGTGCTCAGCATATGTGGGAACAAGAGTGTGCAAAGCTGTCATCAAAGTAAAAGGTGGCTACTTTGAAGAATCTTAAATGTAAAATATATTTTGATTTGTTAAACACTGTTTTGGTTACTACATGACTCCATATGTGTTATTTCATAGTTTTGATGTCTTCACTATTATTCTACAATGTAGAAAATAGTAAAAGTAAAGAAAAACCCTTGAATGAGTAGGTGTGTCCAAACTTTTGACTGGTACTGTATATACTTCATATGAAAGTAAAACAACTGTGTCAGGTCCTTACAGTTGTAGTAGATCACAATGTCCCAAATAATAACAACAATACTACTAATAATACATATGATATAATTCGTATATTAACACAATGTATTAATATTTAATCATACATGTTTACCCCTATTATTATTATTATTATTATTATTGAACAAGCTGCTGGAGATCTATTGCCAGCGCTTAGTTTCTTCCCATCCTACTGAAACCCGAGAGGAGAGAGAGTGCATTGCATCACTACCCACTCGCCATCCATCCCATCTCCTCTTTACAGTACCAAAACATATGGTGGAAAAATCATCACATCTGCCGGGACGCACTACAACAATAGACAGCATCTAGCCCAAGAGAACCGGGGCGTCCATCATGTTTGCTGTCCAGAGCTCCATGAGGCTGTGAGCGCCGTCGTGATTTTTGACACGGGGTACCATCACGGCAGCCGAGGATTCTTCTCGCGACTGTCTGGGCTCTCCATCGAGTGGGGAAGATGGCCGCCATGAAAATTTTAACCAGCAGTGGGCTGTTCTTAGCGTTATGTGCGTTGGGGTTGCTAGCCATGGCAATCTGCACCGACTATTGGTATGAGACAGATGCGCGGAGACACCGAGAAAGGTGTAAAAACTACGCCAACAAGAGAAACGACCCGGGGTACATCTACATCTCAAATAGCAATCTCCCCCTCCAGATGCCCCCAAAGGGCATTGTAAGGAAAGGTAACGGTCCAAGTGCCGGAGCTCAGCCTCTTATTAGGGAAAAACGGCACTTTCTGGCCGCAGCATCAGCTATGGAGTCCCACTGCAATCGCCAGTTCAATTCAACCATATCTGGGCTCTGGAGAAAGTGTCTTCGAGATGGATTTGACCTGGAGACAGAGGACCTCATATATAAAGGTAAGGATGCTACAGCTAATAGCCTACATCAGGCCCTGGTGTTATGTGGTGCTGATGCTGCTCACTGAGTGTAAGCATGTTGCTCAGATCCAAGCTCAACATGATCATATTGATACACTGGGCATGGGATTAACTGATGCTCGTAACTGTCACTGTAGGGCCGTTGCCATAATAATATTTTACAAGAGCGGCTTTTGTTCATCATTGTAAACTACAGTAGCCTACAGTAAATAATCTAGATGGGAATGCCAGTAGTGTCCGTGACGCCGAAGACGTGACACCTCCGTATTTTTTACACTTTGTGTACAGCTCTGTCCATGGTGCTGAATTTAATTTAGGCTTTGCGACCAGCCCGTTTGCCTTGCAGTAGCACACTATGGCGGAGGAAGGGGGTCTTCCCTTGTAAAAGCGAAAAGGTTTTGTCTCAGGTGCTATTTGGACATTTCGATTTTGCTGAGTGCATTTGGCATCTGTTACATTAAAATACTAGATAATGTGTTATGGGTGATGGGTCGACTGCCACGGGGGAGACCGAGAGAAGAGCAAAGACTGAATTATTGATAAACATCCTGGTTCGTGGGAATTTTGAGCTGCAGGAGAGAAAATCACAGTGCATGGAACTCTCGCAGAACGGCCTCGTCCGATACATAAGATCAGGGTTTTCTGTGCAATGCAATGAGGCGTTCATGCCTGACAACTCTGAGATTCTGATGAATAATGAGAGCACGAAAGCATCAATGTTATCATAAACACAGTACCTTAATTCAAGGGAAATTCAGGATACTGAACATTTTGGAGAATTCTCCAGAAATTGTAGCATGTTTGTTTACCAGGATGTTTTCCTAATGTATTCAATCAGATTCAAACTGTCCAGAGTAGGCCTAAGAGGACAGTGAAAACATAAATGTTCTTGGGTTGTTCCACGAAAATAGTTCCTTTTGCATCCCTTTGATATTTGAATTAGAAATTGTGCACCAATGTTGAATTTTAAAAGCCTGTTATATTAAATGAAGTGCCCTTTAATATAGACCACATGGAGAATTCAATACATCAGATTTTTATAAGAATACAATTCAGCATTTTGATGTGTCCCCTCTGTGCACCCTCTGTGACTTCTAGGAAGATTTTAACCCCTTAACCCCAAAATGTATCCAAGTTTTCAGCATCATTGTAAAGCCCTAATTATTTTGTTGCTTTGAAAAAGTCATTTCTGAAGATTATTATTTATTTCATGTGATTAGTGATTCATTTACGTTTGTCCCTCATTTTGTTATTCTGGATGGCCAGCTAAGAACAATGACAAGCTGCCATGTGGGGAATTGTAGGTGGCTCGTTTCAGCTAGCTTGATCTTGTTCTTGATACCATGTCTTGTTTTGAGGTGTTTTGACTGATGTCATGTCTATGCTAATATGGCCAAAATGTGCTAGCTAGCTAACCAACAACTGTAACGATGTATTGAGAGACAACAAGTAAGTGCTTATTGTGCAAATGTATTTGTTTTCAATTAAACATAGGAGAGGAAATATAGTTTACATGTTGTCAACAATCTAAGCCAACCCTGTCTGTTTTGCCCCATAGTTGCGTATGCATCGGTTTTGTTAAACAACCAACCCATCTATAGTAAAATCATAGTGTAAAAACAGGTGAGCTGGTTCAATCATTTTTTTGCCCCTTTTCTGGTGTTTTGTGGTGGAAAACTGAGCGGGTCGAGCATAACACGTCAACCCTAGAAATGTTTTAACAATGTAATTTTTTGGGTGAAACTTGCATTTAGTTTCCATTCCCTGTTTCACACAACAATCTTCCATTCCCACTGTGATACGTGGATTTATGGCTGATTTAAGATTAAATCTTCAACCCTGTGATTCAATGCTACATGTATGGCATGACAACAAACGACAGATTAGTTGGCTAAAGCACAAACAGATCTGGCTACCACCAGACTGTGAGACCAGAGCACATTAAAAGTGATTAATTTGGCCAATACTATAGATTCTCCTCAGTAACTGGGACATGGAACCCAATCCAGCAATGTCTATTTCATCCCTCAGGCTGCTATAGTTCCATATGAGGTTGTGAACTGTTGGCTCCATGTTTTAGCCTGCATACAGTATCTTAGCTTCCGTAGCTGAATGTTTGCAGCTGAAGTTCAGGTGTGACTTTTGACAACTCTATCACATTTGGTGGGTCAATACCAACGTTTTGGCGATATCCCTGCCTCAACATTGGGTTCTCACATTTGATGACTTGTTTTTGTTGCCTTTGACCTAAAATTGATCAAACAATAAAGCGAGTAGGTAGCCAGATCTACTACTGAGCAAGTGCTTAGAAAATTGGTCTCCATCCATTGCTCTTGGTCTTGAGGCTCACACCATGTTAGATTTAGCAGAAGTAGTCATGGGATAGAAATGTCTCACCGCTCATCTGGATGACGTGTGCTTCCCCACCTGACACGAGAACAATGAATTATGTATTTCTGTACTCTGAACAGAGTGAACTCAATGCTAAGGCCTTTTCAAACCCTTTTTTGAACATTATCACTTGTTCATGTTTTCCTTTTTGATTCTTCCTCTTGTTTATGCCAGAACCATTTAGCCATTTCCATCGATGGTGACTGACTAGGCTTTATGGCAGGGGTCTTATTCCACACTTAAAAAATCACGTCACAAACATATTCCAGCATAAATCTCCCTTCTCCCTGATAACAATTTATCGATCTAACAATTAACTGTTGGTAAATGAACTACAATGATTAGAGAACACAACATCCTGGTATATGTGAAGATATTTGCAATAATAATATGTCATTTGAGCATAGGTGTCTATCTCATCACAGTGATATGATGAAACAGTAATGCAACTCTCTACTCTTCCTGTTGGTATAATTGGTCTGGATACCCACCTCGCACTGAGAGAGCCTAATTAGAGGCTGATCTACATGAATGATGCCGGATGCTGTTTCTGCTCTGAATCACAGCTAGCTGTCTCTCACGTTGAGAGGCACACTGAGGATATTGCATGACGACGTCATTCACAGTGACACAAAGGAACTCATAACAATGTTCTGTTTTAGAACTACCGTAGTGTCTACATGCTTAACTGAGCCACCATATTCAGTGTGGTTGAGTATTTTGTCTGCAAAGCAGCCTGTTTTATCAAGATCTTATCAAGACTGTGTTTCTATCCTAATCATAAAATATTTTCTTCAGGATTGATTCAGCGGTGCATCCCAGTCAAGTATCATTACTCTTCCTCCATCCTTCCGCGGAATTTACCCATCAACATCACCAAGACCATCCGTCAGGATGAGTGGCATGCACTCCGTAAGTCTGAGCCTGTCTCTGTCTAATGGCTGTCTTACTGGCTGTACAGTATGTCTGGACTCTCCCTGGGTTCAATCATTTTCTCTGTCTATCTCTCTAGTTCTCTTTCTCTCTAACTGTTATCTCAGGATCAAATACATTTAAAGTGGCGGCCATTGAGAGCAATAGTAATAAAACCAATCCTCTCAATTTCATCTTCTTGTTATCGCTGTTCACCCCTCCCTGTCGCCCTCTCTAGTTCTGATATCCTTCAAAAAGATAAGGAAAACGACATGGTTCTGTGAAGGAAGTGACAGGGATTTGTAAGGGTGTATGGCTCTATTTGTGGCAGGAATATTTCGGTATATCATATGCTGTGAATATGATTGTGCAGGCATTGCATTTATGTGCTGTGCATGCTGTAGATCCCACTAGGCCTTCTGCTCTGATCTCCAGTGTTCTTTGTCCACTAAATGATGGAGGTGTGTGTCTGTTGGTGCAGATCTACGCAGGATGACGGCTGGCTTTGTGGGCATGGCCGTGTCCATCATCCTGTTTGGCTGGATTATCGGAGTGCTGGGCTGCTGTCAGCAGCATGACCTCATGCAGTATGTAGCTGGACTACTCTTTCTCATGGGAGGTAAGAGCTGGCTCCTCTCTCTGTTTGGTGTGTGTATGTGTCTGTGTGTGTGCATGTGTGTGTTTGTTTGATGCATTGTGTAGACTACAGTAGTTGTGGGTATATGCGCTTGTGTGTGAGAGAGCTATATGTGTGAACATATATAGGTTTATATAATAAGGCATACAAGAAACACATGACATCTCTGTTTTACATCTCTGTAAAACTCATGACATCTCTGGAGTGTAAAGATGTTACCATCTATTGTCTGGCTGACCCACTAGGCCTACCAACATAGGAATGACATAATATGTTAATTAAAGTTGCTGTGAATGATTTAGCAGTGAATCCCATACGTTTCCGTTTCTCTCCTTGTCCTCCCTCAGGAACATGCTGTATCATCTCCCTGTGTACGTGTGTGGCAGGCATCAACTTTGAGCTGTCCCGCTACCCACGCTACATGTATGGCCTCCCAGAGGATATTAGCCATGGCTACGGCTGGTCCATGTTCTGTGCCTGGGGAGGCTTAGGCCTCACTCTGCTGGCTGGATTCCTGTGCACCCTGGCCCCATCCCTAAGCACCCCCTCCCGCACAACCGTCCACAAGCCCAGGCAGGAGAACGGAACCGTGTGATGGGACCGTGTGACTGGCCCACAGAGCGCACAAGGAAGCAACACCCATCCAACCTCATCCAACGTTGTTGTCCAACCACCATCTCACCTCATCCCCTTTCCCTGTCCATACCACCCCTGTCATCCATCTGAATCAAGAGTTTACCAGATAAATTGTACATGGGAGAACAGAGCAAAGACAAACCACACCAAACTGAACTATTTACTGTACATCTAAAACACACAGAGTAATGGCCCCCAGAATACTTTGGGACATGGCAAGACCTTTTTGTTGTTAAACGTTTGACTACTAACTCTATGGCAGCCTAAAGGCGACTGTTTGTCTGTTTTTTTTTCAAGAGGAATTGTCTTAAAATGGTGCTCTCTTTTAACACAAACAACACAAGCACACACTCCAAGAGCTTAGAAAGAAACAACAAACATCTCTAAATGGAACAAACCTACAAACAAGAAAATGTGGCAGAGCATCCTGTCATCATTCCTCTTTTAGTCGGGTGGTCTGTACTGTGTTTGTTATTGTTCGCAACGAAAAATTATGCTGGCATAAACTGTCCATTGTTTTGAATCCGCTGACTGATATCAAGCATTATCCCTGGGAAGGACTTTACAGCTTAAGCCTAAAACCTGCTCCTTGCGGCAGAGGACCAAGAGCACAAAATGGAAATGGCAGTGGTGGAACAGCAAGATAAAATACAGAACTGCGCTTTTGAAGAGCATATCTTTCAGCGCTTCTATGATTCAGTATGTACAAATGCATCTCTACGTAGATTCAGGTCATTGTTTGTATAAAGTAACTCTTGAATAAGAATGTTTTTTTTTCTGTTTGTTTCGAGGTAACAATGGCGATTTGGGTCTTCAGTGATGTTGTTTGCTGGAATAAATGGTATGCTTCATGATTAGAAGAATAAGAGGGATTGCAAGGTGCAGTAAGTACTGTTTGAGAGTAGCAGAGGCAGTTAAAGGCCCAGTGCAGTCAAACATGTGATTTGTCTGTGTTATATATTTCCACACTATGAGGTTGGAATAATACTGTGAAATTGTGAAAATTATGATAATGCCATTTTAGTGTAAGAGCTGTTTGATTAGTTTTCCCCTCCCCACTCAGACCACTCCCAGACAGTCTTAGCAAAATTCTTGCCTGAGAAATTGCTCTTTGCTAAGAAGCTATTTTTGTTTCTTTCTGACCATTTTAATTGATAACAATCACAGTAAGGTACTTAATTGTTACCTGGAAATGATTTGATATTGAAATATAAACGGCTGCTTTGGACCTTTAAGGAACAGTTAGTATTGTATGTTGAAGGACTGGGTTCAATGAAAAATTGTTTTAACCTTCTGGTAACACATTCAAACTTAGAAACAATGACAGACAGTAATTTATAGTTATAAGTGACAGGATTTGGCAGGAATTGAACAGCAGACAACAGTGTTGGACTTGCATTTAATGTATTCTGCCACAAAAACCTTCACATAGCACAATACATTGTAGCAAGTATCAATGCATGGAGTGATTTGGTTTGTGTGAATTGCTGCAAAATGCAGGTTTTTGCACAGCATAGATTCCCAAAGCTTCTGTTAAAGTTAATAATTGAATCCATGTCTTATTCAACAGAACATTTCTGTTACTATTCTTCTGTAAGTGAAAATGGGTGATGTTGAGATTTACATTGAGATAGCAGTAGGGCTGTGAAAAGTCATACTTAATGTTTACATCAGTAACACCACTGGGATGTTGTTTTTTCCAGTCTACCAATCCTTCTCTCCTCTCGTTTGAGGCAGGGGTGTCTGCTCTTGCCCATAGCTGTTCTCTGTATTCTTCCTCAGTAGGGGGGAAACTAGGAATCAGCTTAGGTCTCTTGGAGACAAGACCAAATATGTGGTATCTTGTAAGCAGACAACGTGATGTCCTGTTAAAAGCACCATCTGCATCACTTGAGCATGAACTATCCTTATTGAGTCGACCACTTTCCTGCAAGTGGGCTGAATTAATTGAGGGAGCTCACCATTTCTTAATTTCAGTGCCACTTTTGCCCCAGGCAACAGGCAGTCTTACTGGCCCTTTGCAGTTTTCTGAGTCCCCTTTGCAATTCATAGAGACAAGGAGAGGTCAAAAGGCCCTCATTTGGGTAACATTGGATTAATGTACTCTGTAAGTGCACAGTTCTCACAGGACTTGAGAGGTATAATAATGATACAAGCACACTTGTGTATTACATAAAGGGTCTGGGATGAAACTCAGGCCGTGTTGTGAGTTTGTTTGTGGCAGGTCTAGGTTCAGACAGGCTTTGGAGGCTAGCACTGCACATGAATTAAGATGTAATTACAGGTAAGATGGAATTTATGTATTTTGTGAGTACAGAGTACTCAAGGAACACTGTTTTGTTACCTACATTTAAAAAAGCACACTCATTGTGACACTTTTTCAGCAGTGTTATGTGGTGAGGTGATGAGCTATAACCTTTCCAGTGAATTAGTATTTGACTGTAGATAAAAACATTGCCTCAAAGTGACTACAAAGTGAAACATCCAAACATTGTTACTACATGTAGCACCACCTCAGACTTGTAAAAGAGTTGTGTATATTGGTGAGCTCATCCACAGTCTTCTCCTCCAGTTTATATCACCACATACAGTGAGGGAAAAAAGTATTTGATCCCCTGCTGATTTTGTACATTTGCCCACTGACAAAGAAATGATCAGTGTATAATTTTAATGGTAGGTTTATTTGAACAGTGAGAGACAGAATAACAACAACAAAATCCAGAAAAACGCATGTCAAAAATGTTATAAATTGATTTGCATTTTAATGAGGGAAATAAGTATTTGACCCCCTCTCAATCAGAAAGATTTCTGGCTCCCAGGTGTCTTTTATACACGTAACGAGCTGAGATTAGGAGTACACTCTTAAAGGGAGTGCTCCTAATCTCAGTTTGTTAACTGTATAAAGACACCTGTCCACAGAAGCAATCAATCAATCAGATTCCAAACTCTCCACCATGGCCAAGACCAAAGAGCTCTCCAAGGATGTCAGGCACAAGATTGTAGACCTACACAAGGCTGGAATGGGCTACAAGACCATCGCCAAGCAGCTTGGTGAGAAGGTGACAACAGTTGGTGCGATTATTCGCAAATGGAAGAAACACAAAATAACTGTCAATCTCCCTCTGCCTGGGGCTCCATGCAAGATCTCACCTCGTGGAGTTGCAATGATCATGAGAACGGTGAGGAATCAGCCCAGAAGTACACGGGAGGATCTTGTCAATGATCTCAAGGCAGCTGGGACCATAGTCACCAAGAAAACAATTGGTAACACACTATGCCGTGAAGAACTGAAATCCTGCAGCGCCCGCAAGGTCCCCCTGCTCAAGAAAGCACATATACAGGCCGTCTGAAGTTTGCCAATGAACATCTGAATGATTCAGAGGAGAACTGGGTGAAAGTGTTGTGGTCAGATGAGACCAAAATGGAGCTCTTTGGCATCAACTCAACTCGCCGTGTTTGGAGGAGGAGGAATGCTGCCTATGACCCCAAGAACACCATCCCCACCGTCAAACATGGAGGTGGAAACATTATGCTTTGGGGGTGTTTTTCTTCTAAGGGGACAGGACAACTTCACCGCATCAAAGGGACGATGGACGGGGCCATGTACATTCAAATCTTGGGTGAGAACCTCCTTCCCTCAGCCAGGGCATTGAAAATGGGTCGTGGATGGGTATTCCAGCATGACAATGACCCAAAACACACGGCCAAGGCAACAAAGGAGTGGCTCAAGAAGAAGCACATTAAGGTCCTGGAGTGGCCTAGCCAATCTCCAGACCTTAATCCCATAGAAAATCTGTGGAGGGAGCTGAAGGTTCGAGTTGCCAAACGTCAGCCTCGAAACCTTAATGACTTGGAGAAGATCTGCAAAGAGGAGTGGGACAGAATTCCTCCTGAGATGTGTGCAAACCTGGTGACCAACTACAAGAAATGTCTGACCTCTGTGATTGCCAACAAGGGTTTTGCCACCAAGTAGTAAGTCATGGTTTGCAGAGGGGTCAAATACTTATTTCCCTCATTAAAATGCAAATCAATTTATAACATTTTTGACATGCGTTTTTCTGGATTTTGTTGTTGTTATTCTGTCTCTCACTGTTCAAATAAACCTACCATAAAAATTATAGACTGATAATTTCTTTGTCAGTGGGTAAACGTACAAAATCAGCAGGGGATCAAATACTTTTTTCCCTCACTGTAAGTACAGGTTTTGTCCCTTAGATCTCCAAACTGGCCAATGGTATTGAATGCATGGATAATTGGTACAATAAACAATACATGTATTGCAATTGCGTTGTTTGAATGATGATAAAGGTTGTGTTGCTAATTTGGTTGATAGAGAAAAACCTGGGTAGCATAGCAAGATTGCTGAAAAAGTTGTAAAGTGGCCACGTAAGAAAGAATGAGAGAAGGGGTAAGCACAATATACAACTTGTATGCAAAAGTGACAGCAAAATGCTTCTCTTATTGGGACTTCTAGTGTTTCATGAGGAACTGGAAAGTGTTCAATGTGAGCAATGTGGGACGCTGTGTACAAATGCCACAATTTCAAGTGGCACCTCTTGAAGTAGCACTGCTATGATTTTCTATAAGTCATTTATACTGGTTAAATCCACTGAGGATGGAGAAAGACGATACAAATACATTATTGTCTCGCATGAGATCATTATGGTTAATTTCTTTTAATGTATTCAAACTTGTGTCCATTTTTTAATCTAATTTATTTTACTGAAATAAAATGTAATTAATATACTATTCTGAAGTCTGATGTGTCTGTATTATTAATGTATTTTAGATGTCTATGTCATGTTATGTCATGACAGAAAAACACTGAGCTTAGGTAAACCTCTTCCTGTGAACTGCCCATCTGGGCTTACAGTATTTCCCACTCATGGAGAGTATAATCAAATAGGCTATTATGGTTTTTGCAACCACTGCAGTAAAATTATGGTTGGACATATGGCACATTCAGAAAACTTTATTTATTTTTCAGAGGAATTACATGATTTCACAATAAAAAAATAAAAACATTATCCATCTCAGTTTGCCTTTCATCAGTATGTAGCATATATTCTCCAAACTAATACATCATTTATGAGGTTTTAAAAACAATCCCATGGATGTTGCTGTCATCTCTGTCAGTTAGTGAGCTGACAATGATTTACTCCAAATGCTAGACTTAATTTAAGTGGACCTCAATGGATGAATTCCCTGTAATAATATTAGGCTATGTTTAGACAGGCAGCCCAATTCTGATCTTTTTTCCCACTAATGGGTCTTTTGACCAATCACAGATCTTTTCATGTTAGATATTTTTAAGAGCTGATCTGATTGGTCAAAAGACCAATTAGTGAAGAAAAGATAAGAATTGGGCTGCCTGTCTAAACGCAGCCATAGAGGCTAAGAAACCCTGGTCTAAGTGTTGCTTGTACCATCTATTGCTTATGACACATTGCCACCTAGAGGAGAGTTGGGTCTTTTCTGGCTGTGTCCTCAGTCATGTGTCTATTCCAGCAACTGAGGAAGAGTCAAGGCTGCAGTGTAGTAGCTAACCATCGAACAACTGACTACAGATAAATTGATAGTTCACATGGGCATGAAAAAAGGCAAACATGAGATGTCATTACATGATACATGATAAAATGTAAATGTAAATGTAAATGATATGGCATGATATTAAATCAGAGTACAAGACAAACATATTTCATAAATGATCCCTCTACTTCTATATCTTCTTCTCAGGGTACTATCAAAAATATTTTATTGTACACAAAAATAATTCTTATAGATAAATGACTGGACAGTCTTGAGATGAGCCCTCATCCAATGTAGTAAAATACAATTATAAACGCCATTACCTCTCAGCTATACTAGCCTTTCTGAATCAACATTTAAAGACTATGGGATAGGTTTTTACAGGTAAGATAACTTTTTCCAAACTAATCTTAAAAATAACACCATACCAGGTATTTTGTTGAATTCCTTTAGATTATAAAATATACCTTTCTACATACATGTGAGCCACTAAACCCAATTTACCAGAGATATACCTTTAGTCACTAGGCAATAGCTTTCATTCAAATACATCTCCAGAAAATATGTTATGCTCAGCATAACCAGGAAGCTTCATTGCTAGGTTGTGGTGTCAGTTATCTGTTATGGTACATCGTTGAACAGATTCATGTTTTATTTCTTGGCACGGTAGTGTGCACCCACCACCATGTAGCTGTCTGGTGACAGTGGTGAGAGGTCCTTCATGTTGGGGGACTTGCCTTTGCCCCGACAGGTCCTGACCGGGGTCACCGGTGGACTCCGGCAGGGGTCATGCTTCAGCAGGTAACATCCCAAGGTCTCCCAGCCGCCCCCGATGCGCACCATCACATGACGCTCATTCAGCATCTGCAGGAAGAACAAGATTGAGGGGATAGTCAGAGACAGAGACATTTGAGCAACTTAACCAATTCAACCATATCACAACAAAAGTACTTGTTTGTTGCTCAGTACATAGCTTGGTTTTGAATCCTCCTTCACCTGTGTCTGATTTCAAGTAGGCCAAGGCATAGTAACCTTGGAAAATGTTATGATCCCCTCCCCAGACTGAAACTGCTCTTTGAGCCAAGAGAAGATACCTTTCTAATCAAATATTTACCAGTTCCTTCTGCCTGTGCAACAGCCCTCATGAAAGTCAAATGATCTCTGAGCCATAGAAAGAGACAGCTTTGTCAAAATCTCATTAAGCCAAATGAAACACTGCCTCATGACGCCAGCTGAGCACATGCAGTGGACTAATCCACAGACACATGCACGCACGGGTACGCAGGCACGCAGACACGCACTCAGAGGACACAGCATTTGTAAATGGTACGTTGGTGTGAAGTCCCCATGTACAGTGTTCCACTTAGAATACCCGTGATAGCAGGCAAACACTCTGAGAGATCAGCACTCTTTAAAATCAAGCCCTCTGACAACTACAGCATAGACACCTTCCTCTACACATCACCCGCTGGTCTGGTGCAAACCTGACGCTGCCATGGCAACAGCTCTCAAATAATACAGTCGGATTGTAAGAAAATGAAAGCAGCAAAATAGAGCCTGCTGTCTCTGTACAAAGCTGTAGCTCCACACAGACATCTAGAATCCCAAGAGGCCTTGCCTGGCCATCCGTCCCTCTGTCAACACCGGCCCACCCCCTCCTTCCTTATCGCCCATAACCCCTTCATTATGGAGCCATTAAGAATGTGATAATACAAGCAGATTTACACTCCTGCTATACGCCTCCTGTCCTCCACTATGCATACTAATGGTGAGATGGATGGTGGATGGGGTGTAAGTGAATACACACACACACAAGCACACACGTGCACACAGACAATGCCTGGTAATCCCATTTACCAACCTAAGGAGCCCCTGAGACGTGATCTGCCTCAGCTGTCCACCGGCAGATTAAAATGTTATCGCTGACAGCGGGGTCAAGTTTGACATAACACACAAACACAAGGGTAAGAGAGAGGGAGTGGGAGGGGGAGCAGTGGAGGGAAACACCTATTTAGGTTTTTTCCCATTCATCAACCTTAGGTTAGAGCTGTCCATACAAATGTGGGATAAAATACTGTAGGCTATAAGGATTTGTCTTTTCAATAGTCTCTCGAAAGCACCACATTTCAAGAGCTTTATGAGGAAAATATATTTGCAGATGTAACAGAACACTAGTCAACTCAGAACACTAGTCAAAATACGTTATGACTGCTATAACTCTCAAAACTAAATATTCACATAGTAAAATTATGCAAGTAGACTTTCTCAGCAATTCTGCACACAACCCCCTGCGGCAGACATTTTCTTCTCTCTCTATATAATCACATTCATTCTAACAGCCACTGCCCCCCACACATGTGCCTTGACTACAGCCCATAAGCTGACTGCTGGATTCCCCTGTGTCCTCCTTCCCTGGCAGCTCTATTGATTCTCTTTCCTCTCGTTTATTGTTGAAAGATTCATGAGAATGCTAATGGAAGGAAGGGGCCTTCACCCATCATCCACTAGGGGCCAGGCTTTAGCCATTCCCTTCTGAGGAAATATATTGTGATTGCATTGGTCATTACATGAGAGATGGAGTAATTGTATTGTATCATCTTATTTCGTGGGTATCATGACTTGGATCATGTATTCTACAAAAATAGACAATTCACATGTATCTCACTCTATGGGAGGATCTTGTCACATGCAAAAAGGGCAGGGACTTCAATATAACCTAACCACTGTCTCCTACCTATTCTTAAATGAAACAACTTTTTCCTTTTAGGTAATCCCATAGAACTTCAATGATTGCTTAATGGAGATATGTCTTCTTTTTATAGCTGTCAGACCACTGGTAAAATATAAAGCAAACCAAACAAAGCTCCTATGTGTTCTGATGGAAATAGGAAGTCATGGAAGTGAGATGATATTGCGAGAGGTTTTAATTTCTCCCTTCTCTTCAGTGCCAGACAGACAGTTACCATCCCTGCTATAAAGCCTGGTGCTTAATTGGGCTCGGAGAAGAAAAGCCTTCCTTTCTTCAACAGCTGAGAATTCTGCATGGAGCCCTGCAGGGCTAGCATGATTGAAACATCTCCAGTGGAGAGAGGGGGTGTCATACCAGGCCAGGCTTCAATGAGCTGTCTGATTAAATCACACCACTAATGACTTGGTCTTAGTAATCAATAGATTCTGCTCTTTAAAAAGCCAAGCAAACATCACAGGACTCATACAGCCAGACAGACAGACAGACAGACAGGGGTTATCAGTGCCTGGTTAATGGCCATTAATGGGCATCACTCCACACATACACACGGGTAACATCTTTACAGAGGAGTGGAATGGACTGTAGTGCTCTATTCATACAGAGAAGAGAAGCGTGTTTTTTAGTGATTGAGAGAAAGGACTGTGTATCCTGCAGGTAGTGCTGTACCAGCAGCGGTCTTCAACCTTTTCTTGCCCAGGGATCCCCTCCTAGGCAACCAGCGACCCAGGGACCCCCATCATACGTTAGTTGACATTAGAAAGAAAATAAGATATCCTCTTTTCTGGTGTGGATGACAATAAAATGTATATATTTGTTCTTTTTTTCACAATGCATTTATTCTGTTGTTGCTAGCGATATTCGTAAAAACATTGAAATAATAAAATAAATGAATAATCACTTTTTTATTGTATTTTTATGTATCTTTTTGCAGACCCCCTGCAGTACATGGGCCGCGGACCCCTGTTGAATACCTCTGCTGCACAGTAATAACAGTTAGAATGGAGATGTTGGGCACACAGACAATCTAAAGTGAAAAAGGTAACGTAGCCTGGAAAAGGGTAATGTAGTCCATGTTGCTGTAATTAATTACATCTGTAATTAGCAGTTATGCTCAGGAAACCCCAGAAGACTAAAATATGCCAAAGTGTGTTTAGGGGAGGGCATCCGGAATATCAGGAAAAATACAGAGCTTCAACAGACAAGCAGTTCACATGCAACCAAACCCCAGTCATATGACCTTGGTTGCCGAGAAACACTGAAGGATGAAAGAAAGGAAAACTACAATACCCTGACCATGAAACCTTCAGGGTACGCATATTTCTCCATTTTGTAAATGTTCATCCTAAACATACAGCCTCACTGAACTTGGCCATAAACCAACAACCTCCCTTGGCTATCCATTTTTATGACCTCCATTTTCTTTGATGTGGTGTAAGAGCATGTTTTCCCATGTTAGACATTTGACTATTCTGAGAAACAGGTGTTCAGTGAGTCTAAGGCAGCCATTATATCTAAATGGGCAGTAAAAATAACGTGTCTGTTGCTCAGGGAAGAAAAATAGGAATGGAGTTGTAACTCAGCGTGTCAGCTTATTGACAAAGACAGCTAAATCACATACTGTTATTGAGTAACATATTCTAAGCCAATGGATTTCAATAAGATTGACTGAGCATTCAAACGGTCTGCTGTTGGTGACCAATTGTCCCCAAAAGATGAGAAACAACATACGGCTTGGTCTGTCTGCTCAGTGTGGACAGAAGACAGACGATGCTACAGTGTCAGTCAAGGCCATATAGGGAAAGCTTCCACTGAGGAAGCAATTGATACATTTCTGGTTCATTAAGCCCATAGAGTGCGACCCCATCCAATTGTTAGTACATTTTCTGTGGAATTGAATAGTCCATTTCAGAATATATTAGACATGGAGCAACTAAAGGCAAAATACACATTTCACTCAATCAAGTATACATTTTAATTTGACATTATAGCTAAGGTTTCACTTTTTGTTTAACAAAATAATATAGAATAACATATTTGTAAGACACATTCAATACATATTATGACATATCAGGTAATACAAACCTGGGCATGTTTTAATAAGACTTTTTTCCCATTAGAAGGTGTGAACTCAGTCTACCGTTGCCAAGCAACCCTGTATCCCATGCGACTTTGCCTGGAACAAGTCCTTCTCTACAGAACCCCACTTATTGCAGCTTAGTGTAGCAAACATGCCCTCATTGCTCAATATTCTGAATATATGTCAATCAACATTCTTAAATATCACTTGATTAAAAAACAACCACATAAGGAAATGTAAAGAATGTAATATGTTGGTAGTAAGTCAATACCAACTAATTAAATTCCTTACATTTCCTTATGTGGTTGTTGGTTTAAATTAATGTTTTATGTCCGTACAGTATGTGTCCTATACATTATGTTGTCACTCACTGCTGTATAGCAAAATATAAATATAATCTACTTCCATGGTTTATTAACCCCGACAATTAGGGTGAAGGAAGGGGTGTAGACATACCCGTATGTAGAGGACCTTCTCCCCGACACGGTAGCGGCCTTTAGGATGCTTCTCCACAGGGAACTTGGTGGGGCAGCTGCATGGCGGGTCTTCGATGATGTTCCTCACCTGGAACACAAAACATCTCTCAGATAAAGCAAGCAAAGACCCGTAGGCTTTACCTACCAGCATTATCAACGCTAAGAATGTTTGATAAACACTTGGGGAGGAAGTCTGGTGTGCTAGACTAGGTCAATACTTAAGATCTTTCCTACGGTACAGTCAGTGGGGCAAGATGACACTGATTACCTACTGCATTTCTCATTACATTGAAGGGTAATTCATGGTTATTTTAGGCCTATTTGAGAGGTACTTACAATGTCATCCAACAAGTTGCATGTGCTTGGCATCTTCTTAGCAGATGATTTGCTTGGATGACGCGCCATGGGCTTAGGTGAGGGAGAGGGTGAGGGTTGGGATGGAGATGACGGCAGTGATGGAGGATGTGAAGGAGGTGGTGGAGAGGGGGAGACAGGGGTTTCTGTAAGGCTCAGGGCTGAGATAGGATCTGTGGTTGGTGTTGTGGGAGGGGTCTGAGTTGGAGGTTGTGACAGTGGTAACAGATGAGGTTTGAGTGGAAGACATGATAGTGGTGGTTGATGAGGATGAGATGGAAGTTGGAGGAGTAGGGTCTATTGGGCTTGGACTGGGTGGTGGGGTTACAGAAGCAGGGGGTGCAGGGGGGGTAGGGGGTGCAGGGGGGTAGGGGGGGTAGGGGGGGTAGGGGGTGCAGGGGGGGGTAGGAGCACGGAGCAGCGGTAAGATTAAGGGAAGACTTGTGGGTGAGGGGAAGGGGAAGGCCAGAGGTGATGATTGGGATAGAGACCCTGCCTCCTCCCTCTCTATCTCCCTCTCTATCTCCCTCTCCAGCTTCACCAACCCTGGGGGCTCCACACCATACCTGAGAGCGAGAGCGAGTCAGTGTGACACCACGACTGTTAGACAGTTGGTAAAGAAAGATTCCATGAACTGGGGAAAGTACAGTTGTGTCATATTAATGTATTATCTTTATGTAGAAAGCCTGAGGACATGAACGAAGGGCTGGGGAAAATACACAGACACAATAACCAAGTCAGTGTCAATACTCCAATTCAGCTCAATACACTGAACAGCCTCAATTCGTCAGGGCATGGACTCTACAAGGTGTCGAAATCGTTCCACAGAGATGCTGGCCCATGTTGACTCTAATGCTTCCCACAGTTATGTCAAGTTGGCTGGATGTCCTTTGTATTGTGGACCATTCTTGATACACACGGGAAACTGTTGGGCATGAAAAACCCAGCGGCGTTGCAGTTCTTGACACAAACCAGTGCACCTGGCACCTACTACCATACCCCGTTCAAAGGCACTTACATTTTTTGTTGTGCAAGTCTAATATTTGTGAGTGAATGATGTACACAGGGTCATGACAACTCACCTGGCTACAATCCTTCCCAGCTCCATAAGACAGAGACACACCTCCCGAGGCTGTTTGTGGAGCACTGCCCATAAAGCACACACACAGAACATATGTAATGGCTGAACAAATACTGTCATATTAATGTATAAAGCCTGATGACATGAACAGCAGTTAAATGTGTGTTTATATGAACGCACTTGACAAACCATAAAGACTGTCAGGATGTCAGGACACACAAAAACAACCTTCGTCCTGCACCAAGCCATTTGAATATGAGGAAGCACACAGACAAAATTGAATAAAGATTAAACCAATGTGTTCACATTTCAAGATCCACAAACACCACACACATGCTACCCATTAACAATGAGTGTCATTCAGCTGCCAAAAGAGATGCATGCAAAGATAAAACAGGACATTATCTTTGTGGAAAATGAAAACAAGAGCAGAATTTTGAATATGTGTGAATGTCAGTCAGGACTCAGGAGAGGTTCTGCCTTTCTCCAGCGCCCAGCTATCTTTGAAGCTGAACTCAAATCCCTGCAGCCGCCAGACACGTGTGTAAAGAAAACGTGGGCATGCAGGCTGAACACAGCACGCTCAATGCCTGTAATCATCAGTAGTCTTCAAAGTTAGGATCTCGAAAGTGATTAAAAGACTTATCAAAACAAAATCATATCTTGTTCTTAACATGGCATTTCAATTCACAGGGACAGAAGATGTAGTTTAGCTTTGGAGGGAAAGGAATCATAGATATACCATGTAGTGAAATTAACTTCTCTCAGTAGCTTAACATGAAAAGGAAGCACCACAAAAACACAAAAAAACGGGGAAAGGTTATGGTATTATGGTACAAATGTGTCCATAGGTAACCTTTGATCTTTGAAATTGTCAATGAATTTCCTTGTCATTCCTCTGTTCTGTAAATCCATCAGGGAAAAGGGAGGAGAGAAAGCAGGAATAGAGTAGAGTAGACATAATGCCATAAATACACAGTATACACTTACTTACATGTAGTTGTACATTGAAGTACAAAAATATAAGCAATTATGTACGTATGAAAATATACAGTATGAATGACTTTAAAATTCCTGTGTCAAACATACAGTTTAGTCAGCCTAGGGGGCAAACTGCTGCGTATGGAAGTTAAACCTACACATGTCTCACGCATGCCCATGCAGGAACATGCCCAGGTGGAATATGTATACTGCACACACACAGTTAATATCACAAAATGAGGTCAACATGCTATACAGTGACTTGCAAAAGTATTCATCCCCGTTGGCGTTTTTGCGTTACAACCTGTAATTTAAATGGATTTTCATTTGGATTTCATGTAATGGACATACAAAATAAATAACAGAAAAGTTGTGCATGCATATGTATTCACCCCCTTTGCTATGAAGCCCCTAAATAAGATCTGGTGCAACCAATTACCTCCAGAAGTCACATAATTAGTTAAATAAAGTCCACCAGTGTGCAATCTAAGTGTCACATGATCTGTCACATGATCTCAGTATATATACACCTGTTCTGAAAGGCCCCAGAGTCTGCAACACCACTAAGCAAGGGGCACCACCAAGCAAGCGGCACCATGAAGACCAAGGAGCTCTCCAAACAGGTCAGGGACAAAGTTGTTAGGGTTATAAAAAAATATCTGAAACTTTGAACATCCCACAGAGCAACATTAAATCCATTATTAAAAAATGGAAATAATATGGCACCACAACATGCCAAGAGAGGGCCGCCCACCAAAACTCATGGACCAGGCAAGGAGGGCATTAATCAGAGAGGCAACAAAGAGACCAAAGATAACCCTGAAGGAGCTGCAAAGCTCCACAGCGGAGAATGTAGTATCTGTCCATAGGACCACTTTAAGCCGTACACTCCACAGAGCTGGGCTTTACGGAAGAGTGGCCAGAAAAAGCCATTGCTTAAAGAAAAAAAGAAGCAAACACGTTTGGTATTCGCCAAAAGGCATGTGGGAGACTCCCCAAACATATGGAAGAAGGCAGAGAGACTAAAATTGAGCTTTTTGGCCATCAAGGAAAACGCTATGTCTGGCGCAAACCCAACACCTCTCAGCACCCCGAGAACACCATCATGCTGTGGGGATGTTTTTCATCGGCAGGGACTGGGAAACTGGTCAGAATTGAAGGAATGATGGATGGCGCTAAATACAGGGAAAGTATTGAGGGAAACCTGTTTCAGTCTTCCAGAGATTTGAGACTGGGACGGAGGTTCACCTTCCAGCAGGACAATGACCCTAAGCATACTGCTAAAGCAACACTCGAGTGGTTTAAGGGGAAACATTTAAATGTATTGGAATGGCCTAGTCAAAGCCCAGACCGCAATCCAATTGAGAATCTGTAGTATGACTTAAAGATTGCTGTACACCAGTGGAACCCTTCCAACTTGAAGGAGCTGGAGCAGTTTTGCCTTGAAGAATGGGAAAAAAATCCCAGTGGCTAGATGTGTCAAGCTTATAGAGACATACCCCAAGAGACTTGCAGCTGTAATTGCTACAAAAGGTGGCTCTACAAAGTATTGACTTTGAGGGGGTGAATAGTTATGCACGCTCAAGTTTTCAGTTTTATTGTCTTATTTGTTGTTTGTTTCACAAGAAAAATTATTTTGCATCTTCAAAGTGGTAGGCATGTTGTGTAAATCAAATTATACAAACCCCCAAAGAATCAATTTTAATTCCAGGTTGTAAGGCAACAAAATAGGTGAATACTTTCGCAAGCCACTGTAACTGCAAGGTCTCCCATGTTCCTCAGGTACTGAAGACATCGAACAGAAACAGAGGTGAATGAGGGAAACATGATCCAAAGACAAGAGGAATCCAAGTCACATAAGAAGATATATAAAATCAAATCCAATTTTATTTGTCACATGCGGCGAATACAACAGGTGTAGACCTTACAGTGAAATGCTTACTTACAAGCCCTTAACCAACAATGCAGTTCAGAAAAAATAAGTGTTAAGAAAGTATTTACTAAATAAACAGTAAATAAATAAAAAAAATATGAAAAAAATAACAAATTAGAACAATAGCAAATACTTAAAGAGCAACAATAAAATAACAGTAACAAGGCTATATATAGGGGGTACCGGTACAGAGTCAATGTGCAGGGGCACAGGTTAGTCGAGGTAATTGAGGTAATATGTACATGTAGGTCGAGGTAAAGTGACTATGCATAGATAATTAACAGAGAGTAGCAGCAGCGTATCATCCCTCTATTCAAGGTACAGAGTCAGCTAGCACTTTGAGCTGACCTGCTTTCCATCTCCACTGATCCACCTGAACATCTCTGTCTCTTTCATTCCCTTTAAACCATCTCACCCACTCGCTAAATCCTCTACAGCTAGTGAGGAAGCATGACTGGCGTTCTCATAGTGACAGTCACAGATCAAAGCCAGGAAGTCAGTGGACAAAGACAGGTGACACTGGAGTGTTTTCCCAGTGGGGCCATGCTTCTAGAGGACAGAGAAGAGGACCGAATGGGCAACAACGCAGTCTTTCTACAGGGCACAGGCTACTAATCCAGAACAGGCACAAGAAATAAACTATTCCAGAGACTACTGCCAGAGGCCTCCCATGGTCTCATGAGAGGGTATGATAGAGTAGGTATGGATGAGAGTAGAGATGGGAAAGTTTTAAAAGCAGACATCTCTGGTAAGTCTCTGGACGTCGCACATCCAGAGCACAAATTTATAACAGATTAGAATTGGCAGAATTGTGTTAATGAACTAACTGTAGGGTCTGTTGCCAATTAGCCACACCATTTCAGTGTTCATGAGTTCATCTCGTTGACTCAGAGATTTACAGATCAACACTTTGACAGATTCTCTCTCAAACAGATAGACAACTTGATGGACATTGGTTGTTTAAGGACAGATTTGTGTCCTGTCAGTGCAAGACGGAGGACAAACAAGTAGGCACTCACCCAAACCTTCAGACTCAAACAGGTAGGTCTCATCCACACCAATCTTCCGACACCAGTAGAGGAAGTTGGCAGTGTTGTCCCGGGCAAAGAAAGAGCCAGAAGTAGCATCAGCTCGCCAATGAATCACCCTGCGGATGAAGGGCTGGGGAAAATATCAATATCAATTCATTTCTGGGTAACAATTAAGTACCTTACTGTAATAGTTTTCCATTTAAAAAAATCCAAAAGAAACAGAAATTGCTTTTAGCAAAAAAACGATTTCTCAAGCAAGAATTTTGCTAGGACTGTTTGGGAGTGGTTTGAATGGGGAGGGGAAAACTGAAAACTAGCTGTTATTGCCAGAGAGGTTTGGAACTCTCTTTGATATTGCTCTATTAACTAATGTACCGCCTGGTGATGATACCAGGCAGGCCAAAACTCGATCCCACCAAAACAGGCTGTAATTTCAGGCGGTCTTTTCAAACAGCTCTTACACTAAAAGGGCATTATCATCATTTTCATAATTTCACAGTATTATTCCAACCTCATAGTGTGGAAATATATATAAAACACAAGAAAATCAAATTTTTGACTGCACGCCTTTAACTAATTAACTGCCTGGTGATGTCACCAGGCAAGCCAAAACTCCACCCATGCAAAACCTGCTGGTTGGAAGGTCCTGTGTAGATTGTATTTTCAACCAGCAACTATCAGGAAATAACACTGATCACATGTTTTTACTTGTTTACAGTGTTAGTTTCATCAGTTGTTGAACAATATGATAGTTTTACTTATGGGTGGTCCCAGTCAGTATCAGCAGCACTCTGAGAAGGGGTGAGGAGAACCATAGATGGTGACTTCAAAACCAGAGACTCAGTGAAAAATTGTCTACTTTCAAGTGATGGTTAGGTTTCAACATAATTTAAAAATTGCAGATCGTATCTTTAGACTGAGCCACTGATATATACATCCATTTGTGTGCCGTAAGTAAGTTAATGAAAGACAGATATTCTTAATTGTGATCATGTAATGTATGGTGTCTATGGTCATGTATGTTTGTATCCTACCTTGCCGTTGCTGGCTTGGATCATCCTCTCCTGTAGCTCCTGGGCCAGCTGGCACAGCAGAACTCCATTATCCAGCCTGTCCATCAGGCTGTCAGCTGTGACCCCAGAGTCTGTGGCGAGAAATGTCAGTCACCAACACCATGCTAAGCAGGCCACAGAAAGGAGAGCCCATATGACATCAAATAGTGGTACTGTATCATGGTGTGCTTTACATCTAATAATGTTTTATTTACTTATACACTATTACTAAAAAAATCAGCTGTACATGATAAGTGACTATATAGTACAGTGAGGGAAAAAAGTATTTGATCCCCTGCTGATTTTGTACGTTTGCCCACTGACAGAGAAATGATCAGTCTATAATTTTAATGGTAGGTTTATTTGAACAGTGAGAGACAGAATAACAACAAAAAAATCCAGAAAAAAGCATGTCAGAAATATTATAAATTGATTTGCATTTTAATGAGGGAAATAAGTATTTGACCCCCTCTCAATCAGAAAGATTTCTGGCTCCCAGGTGTCTTTTATACAGGTAACGAGCTGAGATTAGGAGCACACTCTTAAAGGGAGTGCTCCTAATCTCAGCTTGTTACCTGTATAAAAGACACCTGTCCACAGAAGCAATCAATCAGATTCCAAACTCTCCACCATGGCCAAGACCAAAAAGCTCTCCATGGATGTCAGGGACAAGATTGTAGACCTACACAAGGCTGGAATGGGCTACAAGACCATCGCCAAGCAGCTTGGTGAGAAGGTGACAACAGTTGGTGCGATTATTCGTAAATGGAAGAAACACAAAAGAACTGTCAATCTCCCTCGGCCTGGGGCTCCATGCAAGATCTCACCTCGTGGCGTTGCAATGATCATGAGAACGGTGAGGAATCAGCCCAGAACTACACGGGAGGATCTTGTCAATGATCTCAAGGCAGCTGGGACCATAGTCACCAAGAAAACAATTGGTAACACACTACGCCGTGAAGGACTGAAATCCTGCAGCGCCCGCAAGGTCCCCCTGCTCAAGAAAGCACATATACAGGGCCGTCTGAAGTTTGCCAATGAGGAGGAGAACTGGGTGAAAGTGTTGTGGTCAGATGAGACCAAAATGGAGCTCTTTGGCATCAACTCAACCCGCCGTGTTTGGAGGAGGAGGAATGCTGCCTATGACCCCAAGAACACCATCCCCACCGTCAAACATGGAGGTGGAAACATTATGCTTTGGGGGTGACAGGACAACTTCACCGCATCAAAGGGACGATGGAGGGCCGTGTACCGTTAAATCTTGGGTGAGAACGTCCTTCCCTCAGCCAGGGCATTGAAAATGGGTCGTGGATGGGTATTCCAGCATGACAATGACCCAAATCACACGGCCAAGGCAACAAAGGAGTGGCTCAAGAAGAAGCACATTAAGGTCCTGGAGTGGCCAAGCCAGTCTCCAGACCTTAATTCCATAGAAAATCTGTGGAGGGAGCTGAAGGTTTGAGTTGCCAAACGTCAGGCTCGAAACCTTAATGACTTGGAGAAGATCTGCAAAGAGGAGTGGAACAAAATCCCTCCTGAGATGTGTGCAAACCTGGTGGCCAACTACAAGAAACGTCTGACCTCTGTGATTGCCAACAAGGGTTTTGCCACTTTGCCAAGTCATGTTTTGCAGAGGGGTCAAATACTTATTTCCCTCATTAAAATGCAAATCAATTTATAACATTTTTGACATGCGTTCTTCTGGATGTTTTTGTTGTTATTCTGTCTCTCACTGTTCAAATAAACCTACCATTAAAATTATAGACTGATCATGTCTTTGTCAGTGGGCAAACATACAAAATCAGCAGGGGATCAAATACTTTTTTCCCTCACTGTAGCTAACATACTTATTATGTAGGGCGTTATATGTCATTACACAGGTGTTCTTGTCCTGAGGTTACTACTCACTGCGATGACACAGATGTACTATATTGTTCTGGCATTATTCATGACTAATGATGAGGGTGTTGCTCGGGAGTAATGGGATTTGCATTTTTATTATGCCATTTTAAACTGAAGCATTTTGCCTTGTTAATTGGATCTTATTATTAACGACATCATTCTCATGCAAACTTCCTGGTTGTAGAACTAGAAAATACTTATGTGTGGCTTGCATTGTTGCAAATTGAGCCCTATGTGTGAGTGACGGATATTGTCTAGTCATCTCCCCGATCCAGACACACACAGGCTGTGACATGTTCAGGCCCTCCCTGACTTCCTTCCAACAATATTGTTCCCCTGGAATCTTAACAGGGTTCCTTTCAGTGACCAGACATGCAGGGGTATTTCAAGGATTTAAGTTAATGTGTGCCTTTCCAGTTCAGAACACCAACCAATAGCTAGGTCCCCATTATCCAATATAAAAAGTATGATCCAATTTAATGTCATCGCATAACCAGTATGTCCTTCGGTGACATTTGAAAAATGACACCTTTTATTGATGTTCAGAAACTGCAAAAATAGGCCTGTTACACAAGAATCTAGCTAAACCCCAATGTATCAGATTGTCTTAGTCATAGTCTAGACACCTTCCTTGTGCCAAGGTAGTGGGTTTGATCCCCGGGACCACCCATACACAAAAATGTATGCACGCATGACTGTAAGTTGCTTTGGATAAAAGCGTCTGCTAAATGGCATATTATTATTGTTAAAAGTGTTTTAAAAGCCCCAAACCCCAAGATGGTTACAAGTTAGTTGCAGGTGTTTTGTAACAACATAATAACCATGTGAAGGTCACCCTACCCAGAAACGTGTTGAGCCAGAGAGCCAGGTCCTCTCTCATGGGCAGCAGGCTGGCCTCGTGGCGGCTGGGGAGCCATTTGGTGTACTGCTGTGGGCTCTCCAGGCCAGGCCCATCGTGGCGGTGTTTGGGACTGAGGAGGCAACTTATTCCGAGCCCAGTGAGGTGTATTGGACTGTATTGGTTGTCCTCTCTTTCCACCAGACTGTTCATGGTTCCCTCCTATTTTGCCAGCAGGACAGGAGGAAAAGAAGCTGTTCATGTTGTAGTTCATTCATATTTTAAAACATTTTGTATTGTCACTTTTCTAGATTTGCAACATTTGAATATGTCACATTAATGGAGGGAGTTGGAGCGCTTATTTGGGGTGAGGCATTTCTATCTGTAAATCAGTTCTTTGTCAGAGTGGCGTCTACCTGTCTGTCAGCCTCTGGTACAGTAGGTTTTCCTGGGGTTTCAATATTTTCTGTACATTTCTAGTTGTATACGTCAGGACAGCCATTCTGTTTAAAGTTTTAATAGCCTACTACAGCAAGAGTTCAACGCAACTCAATCAAGCTCTGGCCTCTAGTTCAGTTGACAGTAAATCTAATGGTGTGGAACTCCCTCATTGACACTAACCAGGCCTAGGAGCACTCCACACCTTCCTCCCAGAGCAGGGGCCAGGACAGGGGCATACAGCTGAGACAGGAGCCAAGAGTGGGCCAGGACGGGGGGGCCTATGAGAGTCATCAACAGATCACAGTAGGAGGACTGTCCACCAGACTCCCACATGAGCGGAAAGGTTTGGAGTTGGTGGAGGACCGGACAGGAGAAGGTTTTGGCACAGGTAAAACTCGTAATGGTCTTCAGTGTGGAAGCCAAAAGCATTGATGTTCCACATACAGACAACCTACTAACCCACATAAACACTATGGACCATGTATTCACAAACATACAAAATACATGTACTGACACAAGAGATCACACAGAGAGCCCACATACACACAAATCTTCTCACAAACATGAACACACATGCACCAACCTTAAAACATCCAACACACAAACATTTGTCATAACTGTTAGTGTAACTGATGCCAGGGAAGGATTTAATAGACCAACATCTAAAGCCAAGAGCGAATCCCCTGGCACTATTCTATGCCTCATTTCTCCTCTTTCACCATAAAGGCCAACTCCATGCAGAGACATACTTCAGCTTCCCGTAATCCCCACAGTTAATCTGCAGGGGTAAGAAAACAACACGCACCGGGGTTGCAGGGAAGGACCGAAGAAAATATACTGTCAACTTCAACAAACACTAGAGTGGAGTATTACCATAAGATGACTGGCTTCTATGGCATGTACCTTTTAACATCAGATGTGCCGTTCATTTCAATTGCCAAGAAAATGTGAGTTCTGTTTAAAGTCACAGACTATTGGAAGGTAAAACAAACTGACTGCTGACAGGGACGTAACCCCCACAGACCCCATCACTCTAATTGTACTGAAAATAGCCTTTGTTGATAAGATGCACATGTTCACACAGTATAATTTCAAGGTAATGTCCTATTGTCTTCAAATATTGACCAAGGAGCTGTCATGCTGTCACATAGGCACCCACATGAAGAAATACTACAGTACTTCCTATAGAATTCTACAGTAAACTGAAGTATACTGTATACTATACTACACACTGTAGTATCCCTCGATCGATCATGTGTAGTACTTACTATAGAATGTTGTAGTATACTATAGAATACTATAGTAAATACTACAGTATTATCCGCAATAAAACACTGTAGTAAATACTACAGTAATGTCTGCAAAAACACTACAGTCCGCAAAACACTACACTTTTTAAACTATAGTAAATACTACAGTATTTAATTTGCATAAACCCTGCCCATTCCCTTCCCCATATCACAATTTGTGCCATCCATAAGTGAGAAACCTACATGACAAATATAGACCATATACTGTAAGTTATAGAAAAGAGCAGAAGCGCTGAACTATCCAAGCTTGTAGCGTCATACCCAATAAGACTCACGGCTGTAATCGCTGCCAAAGGTGCTTCAACAAAGTACAGAGTAAAGGGTCTGAATACTTATGTAAATGTGATATTTCTTTTTTTGTATTTTTTTATAAATTTGCTAACATTTCTAAAAACCTGTTTTCACTTTGTCATTATGGGGTATTGTGTGTAGATTGATGAGGGAAAAAAATAATTTAATCAATTTTAGAATAAAGCTGTAACGTAACAAAATGTGGAAAAAGTCAAGGGGTCTGAATACTTTCCGAATGCACTGTACTATAGTTAACTGTAAATACTACAGTATACTATAGTAAACACTACAGTGAATCATCTTTAAAGTTCGCAAAAACACTACAGTGAATACTATAGTATTTATACCATAGTACGCTATAGTATTTTTTCATGTTGGCAGAAAGGCCTACATGGTTTACGCAACACAAGCCCCAGGTTAAGGGAGACACCTGGGAGATGTGTGGAATCCAGACAGGTAGGAAGGAGGAGGAATAGCTGCTACTAGCTATGTAGTCCATTTGCCAGTGAAAGCAGGTAGATGGCGTAGCAAGCACACAACCTACAGCAACAGTAGTAGGTCAATGTACCAACAAAACCCTTAACCATGGACAGATCAGATTGATGATCTTGTAGACTCACGGTCCCTCTATGTTCGTCTTAGTGACCTTAGTATGGTGGCTTTGTAAATGCACCATACAGGCGTAGGTGAGTAGGCGGAGGCCTGTCTGCCATGTATGTGGTTGTTTTTCAGGCTGACCGCCCCGGGCCTGGGAGCCTCACGCTCTAACAGAACATACAGGTGCCACATTCACACCTCTACTACAGGACAATCCAGGGCTGGGGAAAGAGGGCAAAGGTCGCTGGCCTACCTTTTAGACACAAGGGGTCTTTATACTCAAGTCCAAAAATACATGCACACATACTGTATGTACACCCACACACACATGCACACGTACACAGACACCCACACATGCAACCATACTGTACACAAGTATACACAGACACACACAAGCCCATACCTGCATTGATATTATGTAGGTCTCCACCACTTCATTTATCTAGCCCTACCTAAAATCTCTTTAGCTAGCACAAGATTTCCTTCATTTACATTTTGGAGCCTGTTACTGTTCTGCTTTATTCATTGACTGTGTCTTACTGAGAGGGAACAACCTCACAGGGCAACAAAACTACCCATTAGGGGGAAAAAGTTTGGAATTCTACTGGTAATATCAAACTTAAGAATGTGTATAGTACGTTCCTGTAATGCAAAAGCGGGCCATTCAAATATGTGAGCATACATTGAAATTGCCAAGACTGATTGATGGTCTGCTTCCATTTGCCCTAGCTGGCCCTAACCTGGGCTCTCTCCTGGGGATGGGTCTGATGGCTCTGATGTCTCACATCTGGCACCGGTAAACAAGTGTCCTTTCAACAGGCTGAGAGAATGTTTTCATCTGGATATTATAGTACCTCCTTTCAAGCTTCAAGAGTTTGAACAGAAAAGACCTCAAACTGACAACTGCTTGTCCTGACACAAAGTCAATTGCCAACGGCAGTGTGTGTCACTGTGTTGTGGTACGTACTTAGAGAGGCCCTTTTCTAAACAGCAATGACTGTCAAGTGGAACTAATTGACCACCAAACAGCCAGAAGGCTTTTTGTGGCAACTATGAACAAATATCTATAGATGAGACTTTCAGAGACTGCACACTGATCTAAATATCAGTTTTCCAAACGATTCAGAGATCAACAAGATGGGCAATCTCAAGTTGATGTCCAACAGCATTGCTGGAAGCTACACCATTCTAAAGCAGCATTTGAACAGAGATCTGGTGTCCCCAAGTATCGAGTCTCAGATCGAAACAGCTTAACTGGGGTAATGCAACCCTACTGAACACTGATATTCAAAGGGTTGGTTGGAGGGTAGGTAGGCTACATCTTGCTGGGCTCCAGCCCCGGTGCATGGCTCTCCCTCAGCTGGTTCCAGACTAAATAAACCCCAGACCGGCAGATAGGATTGTAAGGTCAATTGCCCATCGCTGTTTATGCACCTTGAACAATGGGGCTTTGCTCTAGAATTCCACTGGAAAAAAAAAAAAAGGAAAAAAAAAACTTCCCCACTAAAATCAAACAGAAAAAAAATGCTTTTTTGCATTTATAACATAAACAGTGACCACAGCTCAAGCTGTTCATTGAGTGAATATTGGCCCAAATATTGCCCTCTGGTTACCAGATGTACCTCAATATGACTATAGATATACTATTTTCAGTGCCCCTGTTGGAAGTTGGTCGATGGTTGGCTAACAAAGTCTTTGAGGGGGATACCCTTATCTGATATGTGCGCTTAGATCAATTCTAGTAAATGTGAGACGTTTTTCTTCATGAAGTATAATTTTAAGCACATACATACTTATTTCGTTCAAAAGATGTACTATATTTTAAATTAATTTTAACGTTTAGCAAAGCAGCTGTCATTTAGCATCTATTACTTAGCCACCACCATCCTCATCAATGACCTTCATTATTAAATATTAATAATATCTTATTCAACTTTTTGCATAGAAATAATACATTATAAAGAAAATACTTACAGGGTCAATGAGTAAGTAAAACTGTTCAATAAGTTCCTCCAGTAATAATCAACAAAGAGACTGTGTGTGTCGGCACAACAGCACCAAACATCACTTACAGGTTATCCTCTCAGGTCTGCTATATGGAAAATGTACAATAAGAGTGTAGGCTACCTCCACTACTCAATGAAACACCCCTGTGCGTCTTGTGAATGCTGCTGGTGTCATCTTACAAGTTGTAGGTGTTCGAAATACCGCTGTCAACGACGTTGTGACAAGGATAAGAAGTTATTCATTTGTCGAGGTCCAATTTCAAAACTTTTCACGACTGTTTTGTTTGATGACTCCACCTTATTGCTAGCCTACATGGAATGGATGTCGCGCCAAAAATCTAAAGACACGAGGTGACACGTCTGAATTTCAAGATACTGCCTGCACATAGTAGTCATAAAGACCACCCACACAAGTAACCCCTGCACGTTTTAATAGCAGATGGAGATTATTAAAGTCTCTGCGGGAAACTTGCTGGTGGAGGACTGATAAAACAGTGGTGCTGAGTACTCAAAGCAACAATGTTCACTACTCACCATGAGACAGGGAACATCAGCGATGACTAATGTAGGAGTTGTAAAGCATTTATAGTGGATTCCAGGTACAACATAATAGGAATTTGCGCTGTGACTAATTCAAGTCTGCCTTTTCTCTAAGGTCTATGTCAATATGGGTGGAAGCTCAGCTACCCAAGTGAAGAGGAAATTCAACAACTTTTGGACAGTGGAAATTGATTTAAAAATATATATATATTGTCAAAAATAAACCAACATGTGTTTCGTCCCTTTCCAGTTTTACCTATGGGTTTTACAGATTAATGGTGCCATTTTAAATATTAGTAAATGGCCTTGTAGGGATTCGGGGACATAGCCGCTGGTTGTAGGGGTGCTGAGGGTGCTGCAGCACCCTTGATAAATCACAATGTAAAAACACTCCTGTCAAAAAAAAATGTCAACACCCCCACCCCAAAACATCTTTCCATGTTCATGTTCAGGGACCAATCACAATAGGAATAAACAAATAACGTTTTTTAAATATATATCGTAAGCCTCAATCTGTAAAAACCCTGATGGCAAAACTAGTTGGTTTTACTTAAAGAGAAAATAAAGAAGCATTTTTGTCATCTTCCAC